GTACAGGTATGTCCTTTTTTTTTTTTTTTTTTTTTTTAACCCTTTTCTGTGCAATAATTATGAACGTTCAGATTACTTTTACGAGTTTATGGCAAAAAAAAAAAAAAAAAAAAAGGGCATATCTTCACACACCTGAACATGTTATGATTCCTAAATGATCCTATATGTTATTACACTTTCATAAAAATGTGCAAACATGATAAAAGGTATCGTGGGACAAACGAGAAAATATATAATTTTTTTTTGTACGTCTGATAAGCCAAGCATTTCTTAAATTAATTTTTCTTGAGTGTTGTAGAATGAATCTTTTTATTTCCTTATTCTCTGTTAAATCTATTGGCAAATTATTACGAGCTGTTTTTGCATATATATTTGCACCTCTTTTTACTAAGCTCTGAAATATTTTTAGATTTCCAGTTATGGCAGCTGCGTGGATAGGAAATAGTTGTAAACGTAAATCAAAATAATTTGGATCAGCGCCTCTTTTTAAAATAATTTCAACTATTTTATAATTTCCAGAGGTAATAGCACAACATAAAATTTTACTGGTTATTCTTTTTTTAAAAATGGATTTATATTTTAACCTATAATGTTCTTCTAATGTTTTTGTATGTACATTATATTTTTTCATAATCTTTACAATTTCTTGCATTTTTTTATCAAGTGATTTTTCAATTTGTTTGTGAATCAAATATTTCACAATTCCTTTATGCCCTTCAAATGATGCATAGTGAACAGGTTCCAATGAATTCAAATCTAAGCATGTTATGTCAGCTCCATTTTCGATTAATAATTTTACTATTTCGAAATTACCCATCATTGAAGCAGCATGTAAAGGAGAGTCATATTTTTTTCCTATACTTAAATTTGGTAATGCACCATTTTGTAAAAAATATTTGCATACTTCCAAATGATTAGATATGGATGCACACCACAGCGGAGTTTCATTATCAGATGAGAGTGCATTAATATCGGCATCGTGGTCAATTAAAAATTTGACAGAATCCAAGTCCCCTTTCGATGCTGATAAATGCAAAGGTGTAAATCTCCTTATTCTAGTTTTACTGTTTATGTATATTCCTGATCTTAAAAGTTTTTTTATTAATTCTATATTTCCCTCTTTCGTTGCCAAATGAATTGGTTGCAAATCTGTTATGTCATCGATCAGGGTCGAATTCTCAAAATTTTCTCTAAAAACATCCATGTACATATCCAGATCGATGCATGTCAGTTCGTAGTCATTTTCGATTCTATTAGTATCTGCATTAGACGTGTCCTCTCTACCAAAACTTATGGCATACGACTCAATTTCGTCATGTACATCTATCTCGCTCCTGTTTATTCCTCCTGTCGAGAAGTTGACCTTATTATGGGCACCATCCCTATGATCCACATGAAAGTATGAATTGGTGAAAATGAAATCTGTACATCCTGTGCGAACTTCTCCATCTCCCGAGTGAACTTCTCCACCTTCCGAGTGAACTTCTCCACATCCCACATGCACTTCCGCACCTCCCGCGTGAACATCTTCGTTGTCATGTCCAGACATAACGATACTCCCATTTTGTAACAAAAATCGCACCCTCTTTTGATTCCCTACTTGACCATGTCCTGCAAGCAGTATTCCTCTCTTTTTCACCATATCGATGTGCTTTTTGCTGGTGATAAGTCTTTTTTCCACGTGTGGGTACATTTGCACCATTGTGAATTCATCACATGATGAAGATGCACTAAAAGAACTCATCCATATGTCACTGTATGTCTTTTTGAACACTTCACCATTGTCATTTTTATTACTAGCACCGGTTTGTTTACTATTGCAGCTGTACGTTTTATTTATAGTTTTAATAAATCGACACAAAGTATAATTCAAACATGGCATAAACACATGGTACGTACATTTTGTGTTTCTTACTTTTTTTTTTCTATGGCATATTTTGTCTCTTGTAACATTCGATATAATGTCAATGTGGGTACTTATTTGATTACTATTGCAAATAGAGTTTTTTTCTGCCTCCTGAATGAAGGATACTTTTTTTTTTTTTTTTTTTTGTTTTTCTCCTTCATGTGTTAAACTACTTCCGGTTTTATCAAATTTTTCTTTTATGAGAAAATTTAATGAGCCCTTATTTGTTGATTCTGAATGTATACGAGACTTTGAATAAACAACATTGCTTCTAAAATGGGTTCTTAAGGATTCCTCCATCTGAGACTCAATCTTCTTACTTTTGTAAAAATGAGGATTTGCATAATCAAAATGGAAGAAATAATTTTTACATTTTTCGATTTGACGATGAAATGAAGTTTTTTTTTGTCTTCCATTTCCTGTACTTATATCTATTGGAAAACTATCCCTTTCCATTATCTCAAGAGTAGAAGTTTTTATATCCATTTTTGAATGATTCTCATTTGTATTTATTTTATTCAAACTGATATACCTTTTCTCCATACATGTTCCTTGTCTCACTCCTTTAATTCTTGAATGGATTGTATCGTCCCCCTCAGTACAGCCTCCTCTCCAATATCGACACAACAGTAATTTCATTAATCGTACTATTGAAAATGTCCCTCTTTTTTTTTTTTTTAGTGTTATTTTATTTTTTCCCACCCCTTGCTTGTATACATATAATCTTTTAACTCTTAATGTTCATATATTTTACTACAATTTGTATTTCCTTCTCTTTTTTTTTTAACGGTTTGAATAGTCTACATGTATCAGAATTTGATACCAAAAAAAAAAAAAAAAAAAATGAACCAAAATTTGTTCCATATATTATTATCAATGCTTTAATGGAAATTATGCAACTGTCAATGGTTTCAAATTGGAATTCCTATTATGTACATTAGTGTGTTCATGTGCTGTGATATTTACTCAGATGTAGTTGTCACACATGTAATCGTTACACATGTAATTTCCACGAATGTAATTGCCACACATGAAATATTTGCAAGGTAGATTCGAATGAATTGTGTCTAATGGGGTTATAAAGAAAATGTCGTGAAATTTTTAACGCACATGGTGGTAGATTCAACTTATTTGTACCCACTCATTTCTCATTAACATCCACAATTAGTTTCTTTGAGTCTATATGAAAATTTCAAAATGTTCATTTGTCATGCACTACTGAATAAACATGTTAATGTTCTTCCTAGCCCCCAAAGGAAGAAGAATAAGAGGTGTGTAATCTGAAGGTGCGGTTTGAAAAAAAGAAAAGAAAAAAGAAAATATAAGGAGAGATGGTGAGAGATATAGACAGCGGGTGGCGATAGAAATATGGAATAGGAGCGATGAATTAAAAGTGGAAATAAAACGGGCAAGTAGAAGTTGCAGGTGGGGGGGGGTAAGCACAAATTAAGCCTCCTGCATTTTCTTGCTACAAATTCGTAAATGGGCAAATTAGCAAATTAGCAAATTAGCAAATTATCAAATGCAGAAACTATTAAATGAGCAAACGAGCAAATGAGCAAATGAACAAATTAACAAATTAACAAATTAACAAATTAACAAATGGACGAACGAGAAGCGGTGACACAGGTGGTAATGGAAGACATAGAAAAATTGAAAGTCATGATTTTGCCACACACATCAAAAAGGCAGTTTACAAAAATTCAAATAAATAAAAAAACTGCGCATCGGAAGCAAGCAATAAAGTATGAATGAAGCATTTTCGTGCTGAACAACTGCATATGCAATGTAGACATAATGTAGTTAAAAAAATTACTGCATCATCACTATTTCACCTCATTTCCCCCTTTTTCATTTTACATCTCTGCAAATTTGCCACATGAAAATATTTTTTTTACTACCAACCTCGTTATTTTTCCACAAAATATAAATTCAAAATATCCTACATTAGTTACCACATGGAACGTACGTCTTTTCTTCCCCCAATATGTGCCTATTCAGTGTATACGAAAAGATTACGTTATAAGAGGGCTAGTAGCAAACTTTTCTTCCTTCTATTTTCTTTCCATTTTATTCTTATTTTTATTTTATTTTTTCCCCCTCCCAACTTTCTTTCAACTTTTTTACTACCTTATTTTTCCACTTTTTCTTTTCTTTCAATGTGAATATTTTGTAGAGTTCATAGAACAGTGATTTTTTTTTTTTTTTTTTTTGATTGTCCTTTTTTTTTTTGCAAAAGTTGGAGTAAAATTTTAAAGAAAAAAAACCACAGGCATATTTCTGCATGTGTATATGTCAATTACATTTCACTACAAACAGATTGAATACCCTTACAACTGCTACTATGCAAGTCTTATGCATGTGTTAAGAAAATACAGCTTGTGGGTCGTTGCTATATTATATGTGCACATTCGGATGGTTATAAAATTTTTCTTTAAACAACATGCTAATTTTGTGCATTTCATATCTTGAGCAATTGCATAGTAAGGTGGGGTGACAAAAAAGAAAAAAAAAAAAAAAAAAAAATACACACCATATACATGTGGATATACATATACACACACACTCCTGTAAAAACACACAGAAACACTTATTAGGGAAAAATTCCGTGTCACTCAAATCATTTCACGCCACTTTGTAACTACTAGCAATTGTGGAATGGCTACGAAAAAAAAAAATAAATAAATAAAAGAAGAACGAACAATCACATGGTTACATATATTCCTTTTCATAAATTACATACAACAGATTCGTAATGTTATCCGAATTGTGCTTTAAAAGTGCATGTCGTTTTTTTTTTTTTTTTTTTTTTTTTTTTTCTTTTACTCATCACTTTTTAGTGTTTGTATCGTTGTTGAGCATATTTATATGTAGATCTCACATTCCGCTAAAAAATGCACATTTGTGTTTATAATATATACACACACAAGTGCATATGGATGCGCCCTTTTTATTTGTATATATATATATATATATATATATATATATATATATATATATATATATATATACACATGCATATACACGCTTACTTACACTTATTTTGTCCTTTCGCTTTGTGCTTAATTAGAGTTTCTCGTTTATTATTCCTCGTGGAGCTTCTAATATGCCATTATAATTTGCATCATTTGTGCTTTTGGGGAGGAGGAAGACGGGAATGTTTGCTTACTGTGGAACGCACACGCATCTTCTGCATGCTGGAATGTGTGCACAGATATGTGTGTGAATGTGTATACCAGTGTACCAGCCACGGTGTATCCCAAAACATACACATTTATGCATGCATATGCCTAATATACAAAGACACAGATATACATACATATGGAACCTTTCATGCCACAAATAATGATCCCTTTCATCCCAGAGGTACAGAAACGAAGTGAAAATGAAAACTGGTTGTTTCACAAATGGGACATTCAAAAAATTTCATTAAAAAAAAAAAAAAAAAAAAAAAAATGCAAAATTGTTCATGCGATTTTGCTTTTTTTGACACTTTTACATGAACTGTTCATAATTTTTCACACTTTTTGCCAAAACTTATGAACATATACTGCATATTCCAAAGTTGCAAAGTAAAAATTTATCACCATAATAAACCATCCCAGTTAGTCCCATTTTGTCATCCCCAGTTCTCACAAATTCTGTTCAAGTTGAAATGACAACGTATGTGGAAGTAGTGGATATAAAATGTTCAAAAATGGAGAAACAGATGTATGAACACCATAAGCCAAACGGGGGAGGGGGCGGGAAAAAAAAAAAAAAAAAAATTCATCCCAGAGTTCCTTCAAACGGAAAAATTTAAGTATACCTATCCAAAATGGTATAAAGTAAATAAAAAAAAAAAACAAATTGTCTACCTGTGATATTATTATTTGGGATACAAGTGGAGAGAGGGGGGTTGTTTTAGAATTCTATCCTACCCCACTATTCAGGCCTGAGCACCCAAATGATGGTGCAAAAACTTTTTCATCTGCCCTTCCAGTAGTAACTTTGCATGCGTCACCCCAGATCATAAAAACGTAAGAATTAACTTATCCTGCATTTCGAAAAAGTATACAAAAACAGTTGGCTGTACAAATGCGTCTTGTTAATTCCATTTAAAAATATTAGCACAAGGCTATTCTCCCCCACTTTAACCCCATTGACTTGTTCTTCCATCACAGTTGGAAAAAACGAAGTAGCAAAAAAAAATTATTAAAATAAATAAACAAAAACGAGAAGGCAGAAAAATATCTGCAGTGTTAAAAGCAGTTGACTTTTAAAAAATTCACCGGCGGGAATAGGAGGAGAGTAAAAACACAACACTTAGTATGGAAAATTATCAACTTGATGGATCATTCATTTTTTTACCAAATTGTATGTTTAATTGGCCATAAAATGGGAAAAAAAAAAAATAAAATAAAATTAACTTTTCTACATGCTACAAGGTAGGTAAAAAAAATGTCATTATTCTTCTGTTTATTTAACATTAGTGAAAAAGAAAAAAAAAAAAAAAATCTATACAGGCTAGGCAAGAATGGTATTATGGCATATCATATTCGAATAAAAAAAAAAAAAAAAAAAGGATTCCTTTTATCATGTTGCTTATATTTTTTAAAAAAGCAAAAAAAAAAAAAAAAAAACGAATGCGCACATAAAAAGAATGATCTACTTTTTGAAAAAATGGGAACATAATAAATAGCGGGAGAAAAAAAAAAAAAAAAAAGGATTAAAAAGTTTTGAACAAATCGAAAAATAGTGAGTGAGAAAATAGAGTATTTTTTTTTTTTTTTTTTTCCCAGTTTTCCAGAAAAAAAAAAAAAAGGAAGAAGGAATGAAAAAAAAAATGACTCATATTTTTTTTCATAACACTTGACTTTGACTATGTATGAATGAACTTATAAGGTATGCTGAAATTAAAAAAAGGGGAGAGGAGTAAAAACAAAAATAAAAAAAAAAAAAAAAAAAAAAAAAAAAAAAAGGAAAAAATAGGGATTAAACTGCCAAAAAAAAAAAAAAAAGTCTTTATTTTTCCTTCCATCACCTTATTCACTCCTCTTTTTATGCTCGTTTACGGTTAGAACAAAATTCGTAATCGTGGGCAATCCAGCGAGAAGGTATAATAAAATCTTTTATAAACAAAAAAGAGAAAGTGAAAGAGGGGGAGAAGCAAACATTTTAACAAGATAAGTCCGTTAGTATAACCTAGGTTATCCCCATATGTCACGGTTCTAATTATCAACTTGATGGATCATTCATTTTTTTACCAAATTGTATGTTTAATTGGCCATAAAATGGGAAAAAAAAAAAATAAAATAAAATTAACTTTTCTACATGCTACAAGGTAGGTAAAAAAAATGTCATTATTCTTCTGTTTATTTAACATTAGTGAAAAAGAAAAAAAAAAAAAAAATCTATACAGGCTAGGCAAAAATGGTATTATGGCATATCATATTCGAATAAAAAAAAAAAAAAAAAAGGATTCCTTTTATAATGTTGCTTATATTTTTTAAAAAAACAAAAAAAAAAAAAAAAAAAAAAAAAAAAAAAAAAAGGATTAAAAAGTTTTGAAAAAAAAGAAAAAAAGTGAGTGAAAAAAAAGAGAATTTTTTTTTTTTTTTTTTTCCCAGTTTTCCAGAAAAAAAAAAAAAAGGAAGAAGGAATGAAAAAAAAAATGACTCATATTTTTTTTCATAACACTTGACTTTGACTATGTATGAATGAACTTATCAGGTATGCTGATATTAATAAGAGGGGAGAGGAGTTACATCTAAATGTAATAAAAAAAAAAAAAAAAAAAAAAAAAAAAAAAAAAAGGGATTAAACTGCCAAAAAAAAAAAAAAAAGTCTTTATTTTTCCTTCCATCACCTTATTCACTCCTCTTTTTATGCTCGTTTACGGTTAGAACAAAATTCGTAATCGTGGGCAATCCAGCGAGAAGGTATAATAAAATCTTTTATAAACAAAAAAGAGAAAGTGAAAGAGGGGGAGAAGCAAACATTTTAACAAGATAAGTCCGTTAGTATAACCTAGGTTATCCCCATATGTCACGGTTCTGTTTATATTTATACATAACAAATATATATAACCACTTTTTATAGTCAACGCAAAGAAAAAGAATATATACACAACTACCTGATCACACAAGCCAGCGGTGTTGTATATATATAATTACCAATATAAAGCACATATCTCATCTGAATTATATAGCAGCCTTCAGAGACATAATTTTACCCCACCCCTCGCTTGTAATCTAGACTGAATTCTTCCACAATCGTAAGAAAATATGATAAAGAAGGGAGGTCTGAAGTTGAAGAGCCTGAAAATTGCCCGTAGCACTGTAGGAAATGTAAAGGTGAATGGAAAAAGCATAGGAAAGGAAGATGTGAAAAGGAAAAATGAAGAAAAGCAGAAGAGACTTAAAATGTACAGGACAAAGGCTAATATGAAGAAAATGAATACTAAAATTAATGAAGTGAGAAGAATAGAACCAAACATAAAATGGTTTAACAATACGAGAACGATTAGTCAAAGTAAGTTGGAAATTTTTCGAAACAAATTGGAAGAAGCTACACATGATCCTTTCAGTATAGTTATTAAGAGATCGAAAATACCAATAGAATTACTTAATGGAGAAGAAAATGATAATACCACTAATAGCACCAATTTTGAAAAGAAGAAATATAAAAATGAGCATATGCTAAGAATAGAAAATTTTGATGATATATTTAGTAAAAAGAAAAAAAGGAAAAGGCCTAAATTAAATGTTACTAGTTTGGAAGAATTTGCAAATAATGCAAAAATGAAATTAACCAATTATGAAACAGAAAAAGATAATTCTTTAATTGAAAAAAAAAGTAAAAATATAGAAAAAAAATATAGTAAAGACCATTTATTAAAAATTGGACAATCGAAAAGAATATGGAACGAATTATACAAAGTAATTGACAGTTCAGATATCATTTTAGAAGTATTGGATGCACGCGATCCTATAGGAACTAGATGTAAAAAATTAGAAGAAAATTTAAAAAAAGATAGACCAAATAAACATATTATACTTATCATTAACAAAATTGATTTAATACCAACTAGTGTGGCTCAAAAATGGATTCACATATTATCCAAAGAATATCCAACCATAGCTTATCATGCAAGTATTAACAAGCCATTTGGAAAAAATGACTTATTCAATGTTATTCGACAATATACACAATTTTTTAAAAATCAAAGAAAAAAACATATTCATATTGGTTTAATCGGATATCCGAATGTTGGAAAAAGTGCTATAATCAATTCTTTAAAAAAAAAAGTTGTCTGCATTTCTGCATGTTTACCTGGACAAACTAAATATTGGCAGTTCATCAAATTAACAAATAAAATTTATCTTATTGATTGTCCAGGAATTGTTCCTTACGATATTGAAGATTCAGAAAAAATTCTTAGATGCACCATGAGACTTGAAAAAATAACCAATCCGCATTTTTACATAGATGATGTTTTTAAAATGGTTAATAAAGAACATCTGCTTCGTATATATAAGTTGTCTCCTGATCTCGAGTTTCAAAATTCAGAAGAATTTCTAGAAATTCTGGCCAAAAAAATGGGGAAATTATTCAAGGGCGGACAACCAGACATAACCTCCGTTTCGAAAATTATTTTGAACGATTGGATTAAGGGAAAAATTCCGTACTATGTCGATCCGGATGAATACTTAAACGCAAGGGGAGGAAGACCAGACTCCATTCCGCACGGCACTCAACAGGGGCTAGTGATGGAGGAGAGGGTAAAAATGAAAGTGGATCAAGATGGAATGGACGATGTGGATACAGCTAGTGGAGGAGTGGGAGAGGAGGAAGAGGTGGGAGAGGAGGAAGAGGTGGGAGAGGAGGAAGAGGTGGGAGAGGAGGAAGAGGTGGGAGAGGAGGGAGAGGAGGAAGAGGAGGGAGAGGAGGAAGAGGAGGGAGAGGAGGGAGAGGTGCAATACGACGGAGAAAATTCAATAGGATGACGAGGTGAGAGACGAAATTGACAAGGACGATGTGCTGGACGCAGATCGGATGAGTAACGGAATTATTGAATGAACCTGTGCACAATGTGTGTACCAAAACAAGGAACAGAAGAATTTTACACACACACACACTTTGCGATTATCCATCATGTACTTTTCATGATTATCATTCTCCTCAATGAACCGTTTAGGGTTGTTTTTGCATGTTATAATCCAAGAATATCCCCCAAGGGAAGTCCATTCGTTCTGGATAGGTAGAGGGGAATATTATGAAGGATAAAAAAATATGAACATTCTATAGTACTATAATAATAACGATAATGTGTAAAACTTGCATGGGTAAACTTGCATCAAGTCTCATTTTAAACTCAGAACATTTTTTTTTTTTTTTTTTAAATTACCTTTTTGCAATTTTAGCTTCATATTTGCTATACGCTTGAAGAACAATAATGCACTTTTTTTTTTCTTTTTTTTTCACTCCAGATTATCAGCATGATCACATTTTGTGTTACATGTTTAACCTTAAACGCATGCATTCGCATATGTATATATATGTATATATATATTTTTTTTTTTTTTTTTTTTTTTTGAACATTTTGCGCAGAACGTGGAAATACGTTTGAAATGGTCATTTTGTGAAATTTTAATTTTTCATGAAACAATTTTATCGCCCTTTTTTCACTTATCTCATTTGGTTCTTTCGTGGAATTAAATTTTATTATTATTTTTTTTTTTATGTCATTTTTTTTTTTAAATAAGCATATACCTGTTTATTATTACAACGTTAAGAACGGTAAAGTGGACAAAAAAAAATAATGTAAGTTTTAGAGGACATTATTCATGAAAAAATTAAAAAAATATATCGAGACAAGGTAAGAAAGGAAGTGAGAAAAAAAGACGGACGAATAATTGCTCTCCTAAAGAAAAGCCAAAAGGCACAAATTAAAATCGGTGCTTCAGCCCAGTATCGCGAATTAATCAAAGGAATCGACACCCATGTTGTCCATTCTGCATGTCCCTCCTGCGTGTCGACCCGTTTCTGAACGAATCAAAAATCCAGAAAGAGAACACTGCTCTTGTTCAGGCTCCTCGACCAGCGTTTTATGTTTTGACGTAGCTTACTAAGAATCTGTATACACTTGGTCGCCTCTTCTATGTCTTCTATTTTGTTCAGAAAGTCACAAGTTCGATCAAATACGTGAATCGAAATATTTAAGGCCAGTTGTTCATGGCCCAAGTTGAAATACAAAAAGGATATGTACCGGCTAGCTAACTGTAAAAAGTGTATATCTGTTGGTTGTAAATATATTTCTGCTAATTCGAATGATTTCTTATATGTGTATTTAGCTAGCTGTTCATATTTATATTTCACCCCTGTCTCGGTTATGTCAGATATTATTTTATACTGATTTGCATTCAAGTGAATGTAATAAATTTTATCTTTATCGTTATTAATCATGCATAGGATGCAGTTTAAAATGTTTATCATGGCTTCACAATTCAACAAAAATTTGTCTTTTATTACATTTCGGATGCTTTTACAAATATTTTTTTTCTTCTCTGCATCGATGCAGTTTTTATCGCTAACCTGGGCCTCTTTCGAGTTCCCTGTCCCACTTGTCATACCTTTGCGCTCGTCATTATTGTTCTTGCTATTGGTATTGTTATTATTGCTACTGTTATTATTGCTACTGTTATTATTGCTACTGTTATTATTGCTACTGTTATTATTGCTATTATTGTTGTCATTTCTGCTGCCGCTGCCATGCTTCCTGTCCGTGCTGAGCTTGTGATACGCTTTGAAGGTTCCCTTGTAAGACATCACGCTATTGTAGTTGTAAACTCGAAGGGCTTCCTCAAGATCATCCTTCTGATTTTGATTCAATTCAATATCAGAATTGTTAAGTCTATCCAATAATAGAAGCATGATGCACGCAATAGCGTAGTCGTAACATTCATATTTACATGTAAGTTTTAGGAAGTTATGTATGCTTTCTCTATCCAGCTTAACTTGTAAATTTTCATTTGCACTAGAGTGAAGCAATTTTTTTATGCTACTAAAATGGTAGAGAAGTAAATCACTGTACTTTATTAAAATTTTATTTTTTAATTTATGCACTTTATCCTCTTTATCTATTTCATTTTCTAAAGAGTGATTTTCTACATTGATGTCATTATTCGAATAAATTCTTGGGATGTTCAAATTTGACATACTTGATTCATTCTCAGGGTCATCTTCTGTGAGTGGAAAAAACTTGGGTGATTTATTTTTCCCCTTACATCTTATTTTCATTTCGCATGCATTTCCACTATTTTTCATTCTTGTTTTGTCATCACTATTTACTTTTACTTTGTTGAAATCTACACACCTCTTCAAATTTTTTATCTTTCCCAAGTTAGCCTTTTTTCTGCTACAGCTGGTTTCCCCTACCGCTTCTATTGTGTCTACCATTTCTACTGTTTCACTTCTGTGGCTTTTTATCAAACGTAGGGATGAATCCCTAGCATGCGAACTTTCTACAATCACGTTGCTATTTTTGCTCGTGCCATTAGTGTAATTCACAGCATTAGTGCTACTGATCCCCATATCCTTCGTCTTAGCACTTACATTTTTGTCTTTTTCCTTTTTTCTTTTAGTGTCTAGAATGGACGTATCTTTTTCCTTCCCTTTGCGATCGATGAAAGCAGTGTCTGTGATTCTTTTTGTGTTGATCTTTTGTTTATCTCTTCCTCCATCTGTTGCTGGATTTTTTTGATGATTTTCTTTTACCTTGTGAGATATCTCTTTCCCATATGTGGGAATTGCGTTTTTTTTGTTCGCCATCAACATGAACTGCCTTCGATTGTTCACAGATGATGCATGCTTTACTACGCCCTTCATAGTGCTCAAAAAGAAAGTGCGGGGGAATGTATTTTTATCCAATTCGCTGGCATTTGCCTTTCACGCGCGTAAGTGTAAATGAGTATACACGTATGTGAATAAATAAATAAATAAATACATATCTATATATATATATCTATATATATATATATATATGCCCATTTACAACAAACACGTAGTAAAAAAAACACGAACTAAATCACATGCGTATGTTTTCCTAGAGGTAAAATGGACGTGCATTTTTGCAGCATCATTTCTCTTCCTTTCCCTCAGTTCATTCTGTTTACCTAAAAATGCTGTTTTGTAAAAGTGGGGATTTTTTCCCTTGGTGGTGGTGGGAGAATAATCAATTTTCTTAAAAAGTTGACTACTCGGTTTTTGTGCTTTGTTTAACTCACCTTTTTTTTTCTTCTCTTTTTTTTCTTCTCTTTTTTTTTTTCTTTTTTATTTTTAAAATGCGCTAAATGGGAAGCAGTTTCTTTGCCTTTTGGGGGAGGACAAACATTTTGATTTGTGTCTACTAGAGTATAATTTCGTAGCTGAACAGTTGTAAGTTGTCACCTGGTCTTGTCGTTTCTTACAAATGTTTTATTGTCTTTCGTTTATTTAAAAAATGAAGAGCTTAAAAGAATATAATTCCACAATACATTTGATCATTCTGGAACACATTTTAAGTTTGTACAAAGGAAAAAAAAAAAAAAAAAAAAAAAAAAAAAAAGATAATCACAGGGGAGAAGTAGCTACTCCATTGAGGGCGTAAGTTTTACAGCTATTTTTTTTTTTTTTTTTTTTTTTTTCTACCTTATTTTCCCTGACATGTCAGACAAATTTTTATTAAAATTGAGTGCAAAAAGAAAAAAAAAAAAGTTTTTTCATTTGTACAATTGTCCATTTGTTCATTTGTACAATTGTCCATTTGTTCATTTGTACAATTGTCCATTTGTCCATTTGTCCATTTGTTCATTTGTTCATTTGTTCATTTGTTCATTTGTTCATTTGTCCATTTTTCCATTTTTCCATTTTTCCATTTGTCCAATTGTCCATTTGTACAATTGTTCATGTTTGTTCATATTTTTTTGTTTTTTTTTTTAAAGTTTTAAAATAGCTACATTAATGTTTACCCCCTTGCAAAGACAAACAAGCATATCCCCAAATGAAGCAAATAATTGCACACAAAATATGTTCCGCTCTCAGATCGGGATTATTAAAAAAAAGTGGTTTTATAAAAAAAGAAAAGAATTGGGAGCTACTTAGCACACCTTTTGAGTTGTTCCAATTGTTATCTGTCATTACATTTATTTAGTCTTATTAGCACCATAGTGGAATAAGCAACCGGGTTATATGCAGTAAAAATTAAGGTTTAATCAATTTTGAATATCTCTCTGGATGTGTAGCGGTTTGTGTAACTCCTGGGTAGCAACCTTTCACGCATGTATCATGGAGCAGAAGAAGTAACTCATCCCCCTCAACGTAGAAAATATCTAAAAATGCACATTGCATAATAAATTGAAAAAAATTTCAAAAGAAATAAAACGTGTGCAGGTTTCATTAACATCATAGGAATGAAACTCATCATGATATTCCACATATGCATCCATCTACCCATAAAAAGAAGTGATGTGGTGTGGTGTGCCGGTGGAAGGTCTGGTTTAGGGAGAGAGTGAAAGAGGTCTCAACAGATTGTCATTCGTTACGTAGGAGGAGAAAACTAACTACTTAGCACATTCATCTATCTTTACCAACTAATCCTTTAAATGCAAAATTAAAAGTAGTGTCATGATGAAAATAGACCAACGTTTTTGAATTTGAAGTATAAAAAAAAAAAAAAAAAATCAGGTTTTACACGAATGGTGATCCATTTTTGAATATCATCTTTATGTGATAATTTTATTTTGTATATTATTCTTTTTTTTTTTAAATTTTGTATCTATAAAAATGCACAACTCTTAGGCTCACTCACGTTCGTAGCCTCTTTCCGGTTATACCCACTTGTCATAAAATGAAGCAAAATTGAATTATAAAAAAAAAAAAAAAATAAAAATAATGTCGCTAATTTTTACAAAGAAAGAGATTGCTACAAAGTTTTACTTTTTTTTTTTTTTCCCCTATTTTACTATACTTCTATAGTATTATGGCACAAAAGGAGAAACCAAAAAAAAAAAAAAAAAAAAAACAGCCAAAATGATAATAAAGCGATACGAAACCAAGTGAATGGGAAGGAAACAATTTTTAATTGAAAGTTGTGAAGTCATGACATATACTTGCCTACTTTCTAATTACGTGCTAATGGGTCCCCAGCCCCTCCAAAAAAGAAAAAAAAAAAAAAGAAGAAAAAGTAGCAAACCGTGGCAAACTTGGCAAACCGAGACAATCGTAACAAACCGTGACAAACCGTGACAAACGGAAGGATCGAATTTTTCAAGGGGTAATTTGAGGGGAAATTATTAATATATCGTGCTACTGGGAAGGAAAAGAGACACATAGGTGGAATTATAGCTATATTTGACAAAAGTTATCAAAAGAAAAAAGAGTGGAGAACCCATTGGTGGAAGAGAAAGATGAAGAATGATGTGAACGAAAGTATTCTTTGCGGAGGTGAAGATATATCTGCTCTTGTTGTTGATTTAGGATTCAGTACAGCTAAAATTGGGCACAACCAAGAAGACACACCAAGAGTTTTTTTAAAAAGTATATGTGGGGAAGATGTATCAGCAGAGGAATGGAATTCAACAAGTGAGATGAACGAAATTGAAAATGGTAGGAATGGTAATATGATGATGAAAAGACGTTCTCCAAAAGAAAAACTGAGATTTCCCCTGAATCTGTACAACCCTAGTGAACATGTGAGAATAAAACCTTTGTTTCAAAAAGACGAGGTAACTATGAGAAGTCATTTGAATAGTGATGTATTTGAAAAGTTATTAGAATACGCAATTGAAGGAATAGATGCAAAAAGAGTATTTGAATGTACAGATGAAATTACGAATCCAATGAAATTAGGTGGCTTAAATTTAAAAATGAATGAACATCCAATTTTGTTGTCCGAATCTAATATACATAATGATAAGATAAGAAAAGAAATGACTGAAATATTATTTGAAAAATATAACATTCCTGCATTATATTTTGCAAAAAAAGCAAAATTAACTTCCTTTAGTTTAGGTAGATGCAATGCACTGGTTGTAGATATTGGTTACAGTGCATTGGATATAAACCCAGTGTATGAAGGATATGTACTTCAGAAAAATTCTTTCCAATTCAATATCGGTGGAAATTATTTCGATCACCTGATTTACAATTTGTTGAAAAAAGATAATGTAAAGGTTGTCCCTTATTTTATGAATCATCAGAGATATACAAATATTACTACAACCCCAGACATATGTAACAATAATATTCATTTAGGTACATTCTCACAACAAAATAAATGTGCGTATAGTAAAATTCATCCATCCTATGCTGAAGAAGCCATTTTAGATGTCATAAGTTATATGAAAGAAACTGTATGTAAAGTACGTGTTGGTCAAGATGAACATGTTAATAAAAAAAGCGAAAACGGGTTAGAGAGTGTAACAGGATCTCATAAAAATTGTAAAGACATTCAATATAATACCAATCAATTAAATAACTCCACAAGGAATACTAATCCATCTAAATGGCAAATAGGATTGGAGAAAGATGAGGAAGAACATTTTGAATTACCAGATGGAATTAAACTTAAGGTAGATTCAAAATATAAATACGACATTGCTGAACACTTATTTCAACCACTCTCATCGGATAATAATTTTAAAGGACTTCCAGATGCCATAGTTAATTGTATAATTTCATCCGATGTAGACATAAGGAAAGATTTGCTACAAGCAATAATTATAACTGGTGGATCTTCCCTTTTCCCAGGACTCATTGAGCGTTTATTTAATTCTCTCAAAGAAAAGGAATGTTTTTCTCAATCCATTAAAATGAAGATATTAAATATGACATCATCTGTGGAATCTTTGTCTTCATCTTGGTTAGGTGGATCAATTCTCGCAAGTCTCGGCACATTTCAGCAGCTCTGGGTTTCGCGTTCAGAGTATGACGATGGGGGACATGGCCTCGTCTTCGACCGCTGCTTTTGATTGCACATCTGTGTAGAGGCATGCACATTTTTGTATACGTACCAGTAGGATGCATTTCACGGGAGAATAACTAATCCAAACACTTTCTCCTCATCAGGTGTACTTCAAATCCACATGAAAGAGGAGAAATCTTCCGTATTTTTTGACCGCTTAATCTGGACTAGCCAACCAGGAGGGGTTTTCTCATATCCAATTTTTTTTTTTTTTTTTTTTCTTTTAATTCACATATGTCTGCATATTTGTGTTATCGATTTTGATAAATTCCCAATATGTTTTTGCATTGATTTCTATGTGTTATCACATGATGTGCATAAGTTCGTTCTTACCTAATCCAAGAGTTCTAGGCAGACAAAAATTTAACCATTTCTTATGATTTTCACAGGGTGCTATTTTTTTTTTTTTTTTTTTTTTTTTGCAAAACAATGTTAATACAATGAAATGGACGAAAAACAAAAAAAAAAAAAATTGCAGCTGAGTGCTCTTTTTCCTGTATCCGTTTATCACATGTACACAGATGCACATTTTCGTCTGCATTTCGCATAATTGTGATTAACTCTCATAAGAAGATTGATACATATACACAGACATACACACATGCACGCCCTCTATACAAAATTCAAGCTTTTCCACTTTCCAATGAATTTAGATGTCATATGTTTGTACCCTTTCTTTTACATCATCGAGAAGGGGAGCCAACACATTCCACAGATAATACACGTTGCACTTGTAGGAGGAGTGAAAAACCAAAAAAAAAAAAAAAAAAAAAAAAATCCTAAAAAAGAAAAACCTCCCGAAGATGATGCCCTGTGCGTTCTTCATAACCTATCTCGTACATAAATTTTTATTTCGATTTTTGCAGAATTACAAAAAGAAAACATTAATTTGTAAATGTCCCATAAAATGCGTAGTATATAATAAGAATATTTTTATTGATATATTCAAAATGATCGTTCTTTTACATCGTGTGGGTAGTTAGTCATATAGGGAAAAAAAAAAAAAAAAAAAACTTGGCAGACATGGTTAATCTTAAGTAAAAAACGTTATGTACCATAGGTGGAATACAAAAATTGTAATTTCTAATTTTATATCCCCAATTTTGTATCATCCATACAGTTAGGGGTTTGGGGTGGGGGCGCGATAAAAAAAGTTGAATTTTGTGATAATCAAAATTAATTTAAAAAAAAAAAAAAGAAAGAAAAAAAAAAAATGTAAAAGTGATAAAAAGGAAAGATGAACAGACATGTGTGGAGGGGATGGGAATAAGGAACATAACTTTTTTAACACATGCAAATTAAATATCTCTTTTTTTTTTTTTTTTTCCTTTTTTGGATGGGGCTTCAAATTGGTCCTCTAAGCAGTAAAGTGTTGTATAAAAAGGGTACATGCATTTAGGGAAGCTTTACATCGTGGTTTCGGTTCTCCATAACCCTTCTAGTCATTTTCCACACCTCTGAAATCGTGCAAGACACTATCGATCACACTTTGAGGTATTTTAGAAATACTTTCATAATCGCTATTTATGGATGCCACAATTTTTTCCCATATGTTCTCCCCCTTGTATGCATATGCGAGTGAAGCCTTTGTATGATTCTTTTCATTTTCTTTTAGATCTCTTCCAGTAGTAGGAGTAATACTATCACAAGCTGTTGTGTTAAAAATTATTTTGGATAACAACTCCTTATTGTCACAATTTAAAGCAATCCAATAGTCATTGTTCAATTCCTCCATTAATTGATTTATATCCCACGTCGCCTTTCCAATGAATCTTTTTATTAGTCTGTTTTCTTCCACACAAGTGTTACTTTTTCGGTTGCTTTCCTTCTCCTCCAAATTCTGATCCCCTTTGTGGAGTGTGATATCTCTTTCCACGTGTGTAATGGGGTCTGCATCTAATGAGGCATCCTTTAGTGGATTCACATCTGAAGCGGTTTCCCGAACCATTTTACCTTCCTTTTCTTGTTCATTTTGCCGCTGCTCTGTGCACACGCCCTGAGGTGTCACCAAGTGATCGTTCGAGTCTGACGAATTCATCAGATTCACATTTTCGTTATATCCTTCGTATATAAAATCATTTACAATTGTGTTTTTAGAGAATTTCTTTATGTTGTGCAAAATTGTTAATCCTGGAAGCGGTCCTCCAAGCCAGAAAAAATTCAATGGATTTCTCACCAAATAGTTGTTGTTCTTTATTCCTACTTTTCCACTGGCAGTTGCTTCTGCTTTGCTCTTCTCCACCTCCCTCCTTCCTTTAATTATGTACGCTTCCTCATTTTTATCATTTTCCTGGGCCTCTTTTTCGTCATCATCTTCCTCGTCATCTTCATCATCTTCCTCGTCATCTTCCTCGTCATCTTCCTCGTCATCTTCATCATCATCTTCGTCATCATCTTCGTCATCATCTTCGTCATCATCTTCATCATCTTCTTCTTCATCATCTTCTTCTTCATCTTCTTCTTCTTCATCTTCTTCTTCATCTTCTATCTCATGTTCAACCTGCCTATCATTCGTTTCGAATTTTTCTTCCTCCTCTTGTCTGTCCCCATTGACGATATTACCATCACTCACAACCACATCAGACTCAGACTCATGCTTCCTTAAGGTATGCTTTCTTCCCTCATTTTTCTTCCTTTTCCTTTGCAGCTCCGTCCTTTGCTGCTTTGCCCTTTTCTTTCTACTTCTACACTGGGCACCTGCACCTTTGTCGAGAACTCCCTCCTCCTGGTCATCAGAATACAATATATTTGTTTCTTTGAATTTCTTAATTTTTTTATGAATCCATTTAATCTCCTCATCCGTAAGTTTTTCTGAGTTTGCAGAGTTGTCATCTAAAAGTGTTTTTCCCCCCATCTCTTCCGCTTCCACTTCCGCTTTTGCAATTCCCTGCACACTTGGATAATCCTGCTTAAGTATGGACATTTTTGTAAAATTTTTTTTTTTTTTTTTTTTTTTTTTTTCTCCTTTATCGAATATATGAATACGATTGTTTATAACAACAACTTTCCATTTGTTGTATTTTTCAAAATATATTTTATAAAATTCATTTAGAAATTGTAGTTTTTTAATTTCTTTTTGGATATCGATAATTGATCCAATGTTATAAGAAGGGAGGAACCTTAAATAAATTGGAACTTTATTCAATTTTATAATATAGTGTGTAATAATATCTAGTAAGTGTTCATCCATCAAAATGAAGAGACTATTTTTTCTGCTGCTCATCAGAGTATTATCCATCTCTTCTCTCCTCCTAACATTCATAGAATCGCTAGCTGAACCATGGGTACTACGAATGTTAATATTATTTTTCTGTTTTTTTGTTCTATTTGTGTAATGTTTGTAGGAACTCCTAAACTGAATTCTTAAAAACATTTCTTGCAAATCTTTCAAAGTTGGGAAATCATCACTACTCTTTTGGTGATCATATAGTAATTCTTTCCTTGCCTCAACTGGAAACTTTTTTTTTTCAATAGCACTTTCCTCTTCATTATTAATGTTATTCTGATTTTCTAGCACAACCAAACTTTCTTCCTTATTATTTTGTTCATTTTTTTTATCTGTTCCTCGATCCTGTATGCTCCTTTCATATTTTACTGGAATGTTAACTGTATCTTCTGTGGATTCAAGTTTCAATTGGATATTTTCATCAACCTTTTGCTTCGTGGTACACTGCTCCTTCTTTTTGATATCCCCTTCGTTATGTTTCGTTTCTTCTTTATCAAATGAGTAGGTCTTAGTAGGTGAACATTCTTCTACTGAAAAATTTTCTGCTGAACATTCTTCTACTTCTCCTCCCCTATGATCCTCAGTTTTATTTTCCAGAATGGGCACATCTGCTTTAACTTGTGGGTGATCATCATCAACAGGATGGTTCTTCTCAATAGTATGTGTTTTAATATTACTTGGGTTAGACGTGTTAATTCTTTCCACGGATGCACTACTGTTATTATTTTGAATAAAATTATCGGTGAGATCTTTTGTATATTTTTTCTTTCTCAGATAAAGCTTATTTAATATTTTTATAACTTCCTTGTCCTTTGATACACCTACATAATTACTGTATAAGGGATGTTTGTTTAAAATTATACCACATACTAGGTTGCTTTTATCACAGTGTGTTATAAGAATGATAGATCGGTTCCATAAAGTGCTGGATGTTAACGGATGTGCGACTAGAATAATGCCCTTTTTAATTTCCTTTTTATAATTGCATTTTTTTAGAACAATGCTGTTTTTGCTTCGTTTCTCTGGACTCGCATAATCTGCAGAAACACCTGCGACATACTCGGCAGTGGCAGCCTCAGTAGTGGTAGCCTCACTCGTGGGAACCTCCATTGTAATCTTCTTGTACGATTCGGGTCTGTTCTTTCCTTTTACATTAGATCCATCTCGAGACAAATCGTCCTGTTGCTTGCCCACTTTTCCAATATTATTCGTCTCATCATACGAACCAAAATTCACCACTCGGAAATTCTTCTTAAACAGAATTTTCTCTTCTTCACAATACCATAAGTTTTTTCCATTTTCCATAGACAACTTTGTATTATGTTTATATGGGTGCTTCATTATGTTTGCTTCATCACCTAAGGCTAGAAGTAAAGAATTTTTAACTCTTCCAAGATGTCTAATAGCTGTAAAACCAACATTAAATATGTCTTCATGGTGTTTCAGATCATCACCTACTGCTTTATTCTTCAAATTACTTCGCATATATTTTATTAATTCACTTCTTAATCTCTTCTTTTTTGATTTTATAGGGCAATAATGTGTACCATTATTCAAATATTGTTTTAGAAAATCATTGTACTTGGTGCACTTTTCATTTTCATATCTGTATACTTTGGATAGGAAACATTTCCATATTTCGTTTTCATCAAAAAACTGGCTCAATTTTGCAACGCTCCTCACCAGGGTGCGCAAAACTTTTTCATTCCGTTTAGAAACAGGCATGTTGTCTCGGGGTGTAACGGTGCAAATGTGTCACGCTGTCTCGGTGTCGCGTTGCCTCGGTGTCACGCTATCTCGGTGTGCACTTTTTTTATTTTTTTACAGACATCAGCTTGGCAAAAAAAAAAAAAAAAAAAAAAAAATTCAAACACGTAACGGTATACGATGTCGAACTCAGAGGGGAGGGGCACCTTATTGTTCTGTGTTTGAACTACTAAAAGATTTTCATCACTTCCACTTTTCACTACTACTTTTACGACCGTTTCTACTATTGCTTTGCTTCTTTAGGTAATCGCATATTTTTTGCCCCTTGGCCCGTTTGGCCGATTTTCCTACTTCGCTTCTTTATTTTTTTTTTTTTTTTTTTATGATTTCATAAAAAAAAAAAAAAAAAAGAATGAGTAATAGGTGATTATTCCATCGTTGTTCTCTCACGCCTTCTCCAATTTAAACGAGTCAAAAAAATTCAAAATGCGTAAGGGAGAGGTTGGGTCACTTATGTGTCCCAGTGGGTTATAAATGGAAGGAGTTGGGTAGCCGTGAGTATTCTTTGAGAGAAATAAAATAAATATTATTTTTCTTGCGTTCTTTTAGTGGCACGTAGCTGTAGCGGCATGTAATTGCAGCAACATGTAATTGCAGCAACATGTAGTTATAGCAACATGTAGTTGTAGCAACATGTACTTGTACAGGCTTTTATTCATATGTATACACTTCCTCTTTTGCTGCAAACGCATTTTGGATTTTATCCAAATGGGCTATTTCCATATGGAACGGGTTAAAAAAAAAAGAAAAAAAAATTGGTAATGAAAGCTCCTTAAAAAAAAAAATTTTCATAAAAAAGAGCGCAACAATACATTTAAGAAAAACAAAAATGTATGTATTTATGTATGTATGTAATTATGTATGTATGTATGTATACATATATATAAATATACATATGAAATACCTTGCGAGCAACAAAAATTCGAAAAACATTTAACACGCATGTATCTCATACTGAATTTATGTAAAATATAACAGCCTTGTCCTTAGAGGCGTGTTTTTTTTTTTTTTTTTATATCGCGTGAGAGGTATCAACATCATAAGGGCGATAGTATATTTTTTTTTTTTTTTTTTTAAAACATCTTGTATCTGCACATATATAAAAAAAAAAAAAAAAAAAAAAAAAAAATATAAATTCTAAAAAAAAAAAAAAAAAAAAAAAAAAAAAAAAAAAAAAAAAAAAAAAAAAAAAAAAAAAAAAAAAAAAAAAAAAAAAAAAAAAAAAAAAAACGAAGAAAAAAAAAATTACAATAAAGTGGAACCTTATAGTTTTTTTTTTTTTTTTTTAAAGTTGAAGTTGTTTAGATTTTTAGCTTATAGAGTATAAAAGGGCAAGCACATTTTGCGCTTGAGAAGTAAAAAAAAAAAAAAAAAAAAAAAAAATGCATCACAAAACAAACTGCTTCTAAATTTTCAACAGAATGAATAATGTATATTTTTTTTTTTGTGTTCCATGCATATACACACCTGTTCTACTATTACCAACTATATTAGCACTCCTTCATTTGGTTGTGATATGTATACATGGTGTATGTCATTTTTTTGAGATTTCCAACTCTAACACGAGCCTTGACTTTACAAGTTAAAGGATGATGTTTTGTGTGCGCGTCCTAAGGAATTGGCATTTTTAAATTCATGAAATGTAGCATACTTTTTTTCCAATGGTTGAGAAATTGTACTTGTGCTACTTTGAAGGAAAACCCGTATCTGCTTCTCCAAGATGAAAATATTATTTTTTTTCTGAATTCCATCTAAAATGTACTTGACAAGATCATCTTGGTTGTGTATGGTTAAGAGCAAGGCAAAAGTTCTTTTCATGAATTTCTTGGTTTCTTCAAGTTTGGCATTCATGAAATTTAAAAAGGATTCTGAAAAATCACTAATGGGTAGATTCATTAAATCTATCTTAGGTAAATTATTTAAAAATAAAAAAACAAAGGAAGAAAGCTTTTTTATGATACAGGAATTTTTATTATCTGAATAAGAACATATCATCCTAAGCATTTCATAATTGTTTACCCCACTACTATGTGCCATGAATTCTTCTATCGCTTTGGTTGAACATTCATCTAAGAAATGATTTTTTGAATCGATTTTTCTTACTATATGTGGAAATGTTTTCAAAAAATATTTACATAAATTTATTTTGTTATCCTGCATACTTATACACAAATGTTTCATTGTTAAAAAACTTTTTTTACATAAACAAGATCTTGGGCTACAGCAATGATTTATTAAATATGACAAAATTCTTTCTACCTTCTCCCATTCTGTAAAAGTCTTCGTGTATTTAGCCAGGATCTGCATATTTGTTAGAATTATGAAATCCTTAACCCAACTTGTCTCCTTCTCATTCTCTCTAAAAAAACTATTCTGGATTATATTGCTACACGTCTGAACTAACTCTCCATTAGATCCGGTATCAAGCGATTCCTCTTTTTCCAATGTTGTCTTTTCTTCTGACATCGACCCTGAATTGTTCATGCACAAGTATGGTTTTTTTTTTTTATCCTCTTTCACCACTTCTGATGCAACAAAGGGATCATTTGTGCACTTGAGTTTTGATCCCATTTTCTCCAATTTGTGAATGTAATCCAGTATATCTTCGTATATGATATTTTCCATAAATTCTATTGCACCTTGCATGTCATAGGTGTCATGCGCTTCTTTGAAGTTACTGTTGGTTGGGTTGGCACTTTCTAAATTAACTGTATTGAGCGTATCATCGTTCAGTGGGTTCACATTATCATTAGCCATGTTCATATCATTTTGATCAATATCCACAGCGTTAGCTATGTTCACACAATCAGAAGTGTCGAGTAGCTCACATTTCATATTAACCCCATTTCTTTTATTAGGATCATTAGATTGATTCTCTTTTGAATGTATGTTCATATAACGTATGCAACTATTCAGGAGCTTGTTTTTATCCCTATTAATTAATCCATAAGGCAAGTTGGTAATTTTGGGTATGTCAGCCCATTCATAATAATAATTAATGACAAAGTCAGGTGTTTTTTTCTTTGGTTCATCTGAAATGTACTTATTCGAATTAACTTTTTTATAATTTCTATTATATTCATCACCCTTTCCCACTGCGTCTAGACACGTCTCTAGTTCCCTTCTCTTATTGGTGCATTTACATTTCTTGCAGTTGTTATCATTGAGGTAGATCTTATCCAGATTCTCATCCTCCCAAGAGAATTCCCTGAAAGTTTCCATATCACCATGAGATGATTTTTCCCCTCTTACATTTAACTATCCTCTTATCCCTTGGGGCGTATTTATATGTCCGTTTACACACACACATATATATATATGTATATATGTATACATATGTAAATATGTATATATTTACATATACATATGTGCATCCGACATACACGAATTAACAGGTAAAACACTTACATAGCTAATAATTTTGGAATTTAAAACGGTGTGAAAAATCCACATGAATGTGGACAGTGAAGTAGCGAAAAATGGAAACGTAAACAAAAGCGGTAAAAAAAAAGGGGAAAAAAAAAAAAAAAAAAAAAAAAAATTTACTTTAATACCCCCCACTTTAATTCACCATTTCTCTTTATTTATAAATTTTTTAAAAGTGAAATTGACCTTAAGGGATACACTAAAATTTATTAGGTGCCTCTTTTTCATAAAATTTGTAAATGTACCATAGTACTATTTCATCGGCAATTATGCTAAAAAAGAAAAAAAAAAATAAAAATAAAAAAATAATGCATTCTTAAAGGTGAGTAAAATTAAGAAGTTCACCATAAATTTAGCGATTTGTTCACAATGCGGGAAAATATATGGACATTGCAATAAACTTACATATACTTAAATTGGCACCATGCACAAATCAGTAATCAACATATATACACATAAACGATTTTATAGCATCTCATTAGGAGAGAGAAAAAAAAAAAAAAAAAAAGGAACTCCAAGTGATTAACCATATTGACACTTTAGCGCGGGAAAAAAAGAAGAAAAAAAAAAAAAAAATTAATCCTGAAAGGGAGAGGTAGGGGGGAAAAGTGTTTACTTCACATAAAACTAGTTTACGTTTATATGGCAGTTTTCTTATTTTATTATTTTCCTCCTTTCTTTTACCTTGTCTAAGACGAAGGCGCCCACATAAAAATTTAGAAGAAACAGTTCAAAATATGTATACATTCGTATATGCTTATATGTGTAAATATGTGCCAGTCTACATTAGTGCATGTCTACATTCGTATATGTGTATATGTTTACCTGCACATATGCACACACCACCTCTTTCTGCTGTTACAAACGAAATAGTAATGCAAACTGGCATATCGTCAAATATTAATGGCCAGTGGGGGACACCCTCATGCATACTCCTCACATGTTTGAAACGGGCAGAATTTTGGAAAAAATTTGATCTTGTTCATAGTTATCACAATAAATCATATGTATAATTCTGTTGTGTTTATTTTAAAACTGTTAATGGGGTAGAAATGTAAAAAAAGTGAAAAAAAAAAAAGGATACACACTTTCGAGTAATGTACGCTTAACACATAAAAAAAAGTGAACATTTTTTGCTAACTCTTAATAATACGGTAAATAGTTTAATTTTTTTTTTTTTTTTTCTTTTGTTTCCTTTTCGAAAGGATTACAATTTTAAACGTTTCATAATCATACACACACACATAATACAACACTGTGTATATTGTTCAGGTTTACAAAAAAAAAAAAAGAAAAAAAGATAGGTACGGTAGGAGAGATAGATATGGTTAGGGTATGATAGGAAAGAGTATATAGTGAGAAAAATATGAGAAATGTGAGAAGAAAAACAAAAAAACGAAAACAAAACGAGTGTTAATCCATTGGGATTAGGCAAAAGGAATAAGTACATGTGAAGTATTACTTATGTAGACACCTCCACTTATAGTTGCGGGAGTTTTCATTCACATACAAACATCACCCCCATCAACCTGCATGAGAGAACATATCTCTTTAGTATATTTCATATCCTCAATGAGAATTTTTTCCAGATAATTCCTAAGCACACTCATTTGGGGCACGTGTGACATTTTATTTAAATATTTCTTAACTTCGTCTTCTTCAACATTCTTTAATACGTTGTAATTCAGTGAGCCATATATGTTTCTCAGCATGATATTTGCCGGCACCGTGCTGTAATTAATTTTGTCCAGTTCCTTTAGACAGGTCAGGCATAACATCCTGTAATAGTCACACTGCAGATTGGTACGAGTCGGGAAATTGGACACGCAAGCGTGGGCAATAAATAGGAAAAAAGAAAAGAGAAGAGAAGACATATACATATATGAACGTATAATGAAAAAAAGCTATAAATATGCAAAAATTTGAAAAAAATATGAACTAATGAAAAAAGCTATAAATACGCAAAAATGTGAAAAAAAATATGAACAACTAATGAAAAAAGCTATAAATATGCAAAAATTTGAAAAAAATATGAACAACTAATGAAAAAAAAAAAAAAAAAAAAAAAAAAAACAGCACATATATATGCACGCATTTAAAAGAGATACATTGAATATTTTCTCATTAAGAAAACAATGCACTATCACGTCCTTACCAGATCTCCAAGTATTTTTATGCGATCCTTAATTTCTACGTTTTCACTGAAAATTAAACAATGTTCATCCTTTGAAGGAGGAATGCTGTTCTCGATAGAGTTATTCAAATAAGGGGAATTTTCTTCATTGGGTAAAAAAGATGCTTTGGTGATTATTTCCTGTACGGTAAGCTGATTTATTTTTTCCTCATCTTTTTCCTCGTGTTGTTTAGAATTATTTTCTTTGTTGTCTTTGTGCGTTTGTGGTTTTATTTCAGTTCTACATATTGGACAAGTCTGTTGTTGAATAAACCATGACTTTAAACATTCCACATGAAAAATATGTGAACACATTAACTTTTTGGAACCTTCTCTTAGATCATCTCTACATATAATACAAGTGCCAACTTCCTTTAATTCTTCTTCCGTTGCATCAGCAAATTTAGTTTCGATATTTTTTGTTAATTCTCGATATCTCTGAAAAGATTTAAATCTCGATATTAACGTTTTCACAACATTTATAACATCTGCTGTCATATGTAATGGCAGATTGCTGAAATTGTTTAAAATAAATACTAAGATGAACACCAAAAATATAATTAAACTCATGATATCATGTAGAGTGTCCAGGAAAAACAATATTGTTGCCTTGGATGATAAACCATTCGGTGATCTCAAATCAATTATATTTACAAAAAATTTAAATATCGAAATCTGGCATGACTCGAATATACTTAAGCTTTCAAAAAAGAGCCACAAATACATGGTCGAATTTTTTAAGGAGTATTTGTAAAAATACGTAAACATTGTTAAATTGGCTACTGACAATAGACACATAAAAATAAAAAGCTTCACGAGGACTCTGGTTCTGGGGACTCCCAATTCGAAGATCTGATGTGTGTGTGTGTGGGGGTGGGGGGGAATTGATAAAATGAATACACTAAAAAAATACAGTGAAACGGAATGAAACGGAATGAAACGGAATGAAACGGAATGAAACGGAATGAAACGGAATGAAACGGAATCAAACGGAATGAAACGGAATGAAACGGAATGAAACGGAATGAAACGGAATGAAACGGAATGAAACGGAATGAAACGGAATGAAACGGAATGAAACGGAATGAAACGGAATGAAACGGAATGAAACGGAATGAAACAGAATGAAACACAATATGACACAATAAAATATAATACAATATATAACAATATAATAAAAATAATCTTCCCCTTTAAACCTTTGAAAGGTCTTATAAGGTACTAATAATGTACACAGAAAAATTGCACCGACCGGGGTGTGTGTGTGGATGATCTACATGGTGCTTATGCATTCGAGTTATAACACAACTACAAGCACCCTATATATGTATATATGTGTATGTATAAATATGTGAAAGACTTGGAGAATGAGTGCTTACATGAGAAACGCGCGAATAAAGAACCAAGTGGTAGGCCTTTAGAATAACGATAAGTGATAAGTACTTAATTAAAATAATCGATGATACTTCTTTTCCATTAATAGTTGGTTTTGTGAACACTAGAAACAAAATCGTATCCATTATAAACTCCCTTGCATTGTCTATGAGTTGTTCTACCTCTAAGTATCGAAGTTCCCCAATGAATACATTGAGTAAAAGTTTGCATAATATTATAAATGTCATCAGGAAGAAGTTATATATGATCTGTAAATCCAGGGGAGAGAAAGGAAGGAGAAAAAAAAAAAAAAAAAAAAAAAAAAAGAATTTTTCATCATTGTTACGTTTGGTTAGCATGTATAGTATATGTTTCAGCATCTCCCATGAATCATGCAAGGCAAAAAAAATTCATGTGGAATTTTGGGCTTTTGAGCAAGTGGTTAGAAAAGTAGTATCATGTCTATAAATCTCTTTCCAATTTCAACTCAAAATGGGCAATTTTCCATGCATTTTTTATTTTATATATTTTGTGCACTTATTTATTTTGTTCCCTTATTTATTTTGTTCCCTTATTTATTTTGTTCCCTTATTTATTTTGTTCCCTTATTTATTTTGTTCATTTATTTATATATTTTATTTTATTTTTTTTGGTTTGTTTTTGAATTACCGTTCTAGGAAACTTCTCGGTTGATAAATAAACCACAGCAGAATAAAATTCATTGTATTTCATAAAAGAATACATTAAAATAAAAGCCAATCCAAGGTGGCTCAGAAGAATGTATAGTCTCATATTAACCTCCATTTTGAACAATTTTCATATGTGCAGTTATTATTTTGGTTTTTGCTGTTTCGTTATAATATTCATGCAGTGGTGCTGAGTACTTCATGAGATTGTACTATCTGAGTGCTTCATAAAATGGTACTATCTGAATATTTCTTGTGATGATGGCCCAGAAATGCACATGTAAATATCTTTTTTTTGTTTGGCCATAAAAAAAAGAAGGAACACTATAATGGGTAGTTCATATATGAGGGAAGAATACATTCCTTCAGTATGGAAGTTATTAATGGCTCCAGAAACAGTTCACGTGCATGTACATTCACGAATGAGTTCTTTAACCTGTACTATTTTGTATATGCAACTGTAAAGGTGTGGTGTGGAAACGCATACAATGCGTCTGTGTACGTGCTTATGAAAATATATATATATGTATATATATATGTATGCATGTACATGTGTAGGTTTACATACAAGTATATATGCGAACAGGGATATACAATATTCGATGTAATATTGTTCATCCCCCTCAAGTGGTCGCAGTACTCTCAAATGTTCGTTCAAGCGAATTCGGGAAAAAAATAAAAAAAAATGAATGTAAAAGAAATTAATTGAGATGAGTAATAATTCATATGTACGCATACATATGTACATATACATACGTACATATACATACGTACATATACATACGTACATATACATACGTACATATACATGTATATTGCGGAATAAAATTGGCAAATGTTCCAGGAACTCCTATTTGGACGTCAGAACAGGTACAATTTCCCATATATTATGAATAATATCCATCATACATGTTTACATTTATATATATAACTTACCTCCATTAGTATTAGTACATATAATAAATGTAGCCCTGCATGAAAAGCACCTTTTTTTTGACATTCATTCTTACCTATGTGCAGCGAGCAGACATATACCAAAAAAAAAAAAAAAAAAAAAAAAAAAAAAAAATTTAAAGAACAAGTGAAAAGTTCAAATACAAAGGTGAGAAAAAATTGTTTGGGGGCCTCATATGTTTAGCAGCAAATTCAATTTTGCTGAATTCGTTTCCTTCAATTTTGACTTTTTTTTTTTTTTCCCAAGGGGCTGCTTGGATATGCTCGTTTCTTTATTCGTAAAATAAGCGAGTTATTGTGTTGACATAATTATGTGGCCCATTATGTATATATATGCATATATATAATATACATATATAGATACATTTTTTTTTTCTTTTTTTCCCTATTTAAATGAACGTCATTTCTTTCATATGCACAAGACTTCATACAAAAAGGAGAAAGAAAAAAAAAATTGAGCTGATGAATGTTTTAATTCTCAACTTTGCAGTTGTGTATTTTTTTTTTTTTTTTTTTTTCTTTTTCCATACCGTGCTCATCTCTGCATAATCTTTTATTTCCAATATGAAGCATCAAACCATGCTGTAGTTAACCAAAATGGATTGGGCAAATTGGATTACGAAAAGTGGACTAAGTAGTCCCAACCCCATAAACTATCAATGCACATAGACACATTCATACATGTGCGTATATATATGCATACATAGAATTAAGAGCAAATGTGTTAAGCAATTTTTCTTGGATTTGCAAAAACTCAATTTTTGGAACACTGTTCAAGCTAAGAGGCCTTAAAAAATGTACCAACAAAAACTTAATCACAACCACATTCTCTCCCCCCTTATGGCCATGTGAAAGAAAAAAAAAAAAAAAAAAAAAAAAAAAAAATTATATCTTCATATACACTGGGATTATTTCTTTCATTTTTCTTTATGTCTAAGTATGTCATATGGATATACTATTATACATCATGACCTATCACATATCTCCATACTTTGGCAATCGTTTGAGTAATCCCTCTGAATCATATAATCCAAAATAACATTAGGAGATGTGGAACATATTACAATATAGATACGATTCCGCACCATACGCATTTTTATTTTATTATATCTGAGTGAGATATGATAATTATTGTGACTTCATATTTCGAATTGGTAATAAAAAAAACTATTTAAAAAAATTTCTCTTGTTCATTGTATATGTATGCAAAAAAAAAAAAAAGGAGTTTAAAATGGCACACTGTAACGACGATAGCATTGATTCGCAATCGTCTGCTTCAGTAAATAAAATAAAAACAGTGAAATGGTGAAGCAACGGTAACAGGACAGGCATAACAGAGCAGAAGTAAAAAAGCAAACGTAAAAAAGCAGACGTAACAAAGTAGATGTAAAAAAGCAGACGTAACAAAGCTGACATAACAAAGCTGACATAACAAAGCTGACATAACAAAGCTGACATAACAAAATAGAGGAATATTTATATAATGCTTTAACCCATTCGAAGGCAGCCTTCAACTACTCCGTTAAAAGATCCCCTTAATATATATATTAAGCTATTTTTCCAAATTAATCTTCTCTCTTTACTAGACATTGGTCATTGGATGTTCAACACAGTTATTCTATGTAAAACTGAACCTCGTTTGTTATTCTCCATTTGGTTAATTCCTCAAGTACAGTTACGAACCCATCCATCTCACACTGTCGGGAACTGAACCGCTCGCAGTAAATCTCGAGCGTTATTCCTTATATAGAATATTAAAGCGTTAAAATTGTTGAGAGAAAGGGAAGAAGAAGAATCTGCTTTAGATGGATTCATTTGAGAATCACTAGGAGGTTCTCCTGTGCATGTAGATGTTGCTACCGCCGTTGTAGATGCGGTTGGTAGTGATGTAGTATTATGATCGGTGAGCTGATTCTGAATATTTTGTATAAAGGATGGATTGAAAGTAATGAAGACATTAGGTGTCCATGACATGCTGACTTTTTCGTATGGATTATGTGCCTTCAAAAGTTTGCGCTTAATTTTTTTTCGAAATGTATGTACATCCACAATTTCGTTAAAACATACGGGGTTATATAGGACCGTTATTTGGCATGAAAACTTGGATTCTACATTTTTTATGAAATTTTCAAAGTGGGTTCTATAAACAAGTAACAGTTCGTATTTTTTCAAATTTTTCAACATATCTATGGTTTTGATTTTTTTTTTTTTCGTAGCGTCGTCTAAGTATGCCAAGTGATATTCTTCGTCCATTGTGTGCATCTGGTTAAGCGGATTTGTAATGTTTTCTGTTGAAACTTTTTTCCCATCAGATATATTTTCATTCTCTCTTACATCTTCGGATATTTCTTCTTCTTTTTTTTGCTGACCCTTCGCCTGTTGTTCCTTCTTTTGCTGCTTCTTCTTTAGCTGTTCATCTTTCTTGTCAGCTTTCTTCTTGCTACAAGTGGTAGAACCTGCATTTTCTGCAGCTCCCTGCACTGCCTCCGATGCATCTTCGGCTTGTAATTCCATTGAGCAGGGTTTTCCATTGTTCCCTTTAACATTTATAAGTTTTATCTTCCTTTTATACATACTGCACGATTTGTCTGGCAGATGGAAATTCAAAATGATGTCGTAGCTTCTCTTCTCAATAAGAAATAAGGAAATCCAATTTTCTCTCTCAAAATTATTATGCAAATTTTTTATAGTTTCTAGTGAATTTTTAGCTATATTCAGAATCAATTCAAACATTTCATGTGGTAAGCTTATTAATATGCAATGAGGATCGTATAATGAACAAATCCAAAATTTTTTTTTTTCATCTTTGTTCTTTTTCCTTGTGTAAAATGAATTTATTAACTTTACTTTATGTTCTTCACTTAAGCAATTGTCATAATCAATAATCAATGGTTTATTAATCCAATCGTGATTAACAATGAATGTTAAAAATTTTATTAATGCTGTTTTCGGGCATATGGAAAAAGAATCTAAAAATTCGTCTGCATCGTATGGTAGTACATCTGATTCTGCTAATATGTCATTTCTTCCACTCCCAAACAAAGATGAATCATCCTTTTTAGACTTTGTCAACTGTCCGCTATTCGTTCCTTTTTTATTCTTATTTGGGTAACTTCCTTTTGGTTCTACTTTCTTAATATCAGATGTTACCTTGTGTTGTTGTGTTGTGCTAACAAGAGGTTCATCATCTTCTGTTCTGTAATCATCGCTACCATACCCATCGCTTGTCTCTTTGCTGGTCAACTTTTTCCTACTGCATAAGGAGTTATAGTACATCCGTTCTTCTACTATCTCTGCAGAAACAATCTTCTGGTGAAGACGATACAAACGTAGAAATTTCTCTTGATGGTTGTTACTCCCAGGGGAGGCATGGTTCTGTTCATAAAAGTAATTTTTCTTGGCGTGTTTTTTAAACTCTTGTGTGTACAGGTAAAAAAGAACATTTTCAACTAACTCATCATAGGAACATATACCTTTGGATGCACACCACAATTTGCAAATTTTAACAGAAAGATGAAAGGAGCTAAATTTTGTAGCATAGTAATATATAAAAGAGGAAATCAATGGTTTAAATATACAATTTCTTAATTTAGGCATATATTCAACATGCTCAATTTTTAAATCGTCTAGGTTGGTTATCTGGATTAGATTTTTTTCTACCATTTTACTGAAAAAAATTTGTAATCTGAACACAACCAATTTGCATATGACATCTATGCAAAAGTTTTTATTTTCTACTTTTGTTGCGAAGGATTTTCCATCTTTTGTTATTCTATTTGCAATTACTCCTTTTGCAATTTCATAAATTCGAAAAAAATTTTGTGCATTCTTATAATTCACATTATTAAATTTTATATCCACAACAATGTCAATCATTTTTTTATTATTTTTTTTATATCCAAGATCTGTCATTTTTAGTAACTCATTTGAACTACTCACATTACAAATGTTGAATATTTTCTCATTTATGCTGTAAAGGATATTCTTTATGTCATTATATAAATCCAATATCTTTTCATAATAGCTAAAGTGTATATCTTTTACTAGTAGGGGGCTTGATAAATGTACAAAGAAACTTTTACTTTTTATTCTTTTTCCACTACACAAATGGGAATTTTCATCCATTTTTAGACATTCAATTTTTTTTTTAAGAGCCTCTCGTAAATCCGTTTCTTCCTTGAATTTCATCATTTTCAGGATGGCTCTGATGGCTTGAGAATGCACTGACTTACTTCTGCTTTCATACAATTCACTGAATAGTGCATCGAAAAAAGCATTTCCAGTGTTGTCTATCTGTTCGGTCTCATCGCTTCCATATCTTAGATTGTACCCTAGTGACCTCGTCTTCTCTTGCATCTGCTTGTTCAAGTTCTCCCTTCGCAACTTCTTGGCAGGCTTCTTCCACATGATAACTTCAAATATTGTGTTGTTTTCGAATCTCCTAATGTTTACCTTGTCTTTCCAAAATTGCTTAAATTTAGATGTGCCCTCTGGGTTGAATATATTTTTTGAAACATCCATGTATCGCATAACATTATTCGTCTTCAAGAAAAACATTACTCCTGTTATTCTTCTCTTCGCCAGTATCCTTTTTTTTTCCTCTGTACCATTTTCCCCACTTTCTAATTCACCCTTCCCTTTGTCATCTGATCTCTTGCATGTTATAAGCACATCTTGGAAGAGCTTCCCTGTGAGATTGTTCTGCTGTGTACCGTTAGTGCTGTTTGTATGTAACTCTTCATTCAGTTGGTTCATCTGATTCGGCTTGTTTATCTGAATCACCTGGTTCACCTGATTCAATGGATCATCTTCAGCTCTTTCTTTCGCCCCTCCCTCCCCCAACCTCACTGGATTAATTTCTCCAATTTTGCTAGCTTCTCCATTTTGGCTAGCTCCTCCAATTTGGTAAAAATCAAAGGACGCAAGACGCACGGCCACCTCCCCTAATCTGTCTGCCAAACCAATGATCAAATTGCGTCTAATATTCCCTAGGATTTTGTTATAATTGTGAAAATGGTTATTCACGAGAAATGGAAAAAACAGCTCTTCTTCATAGTTCATGGAAAAACAATCAATGTTAGATGCAAACAAATCGTAAAAATTTCCACATTTCAAGGCATAATCTGCTTTTTTTGCTTCTTCAATAAGTTCTGTAAGTGAATAAAATGTTGATTGAAACACGTCATAATTCGAATTGAACAAAAAAATGTGTAAACCTTCTTGTGATGGTAACAGTGATTTTGTTGTCTCATTATTGCTCCGCTTCGAATTAGAAAACACCCCGTTTTGGTACTCATACATGTATTCACACAAATTCATAGTACTCAGAAAATTTATAGTTTTTTTAAAAATTTGGAAAAAATCATACATCTTGAGTTCGAACATATAACACACATAGCTGCATAACAAGCCAAGGACAAATGAATTAATATCCATATGGTAGAAAATGTTTCCAAATTTATACTTTTCTCCATGCTTAAATTTTACAAAATTCTTTTCATCACAGGTAGAAAAAGTTTGTAACATTCTCTTATTTATGCACCACAACTTTAGCAATTTAACAGCTTTCTTAAACCCAGGAAAGGTGGAAATGCTTCTTTTTATCACATGATCACACTCGATTAGATGACATTCCGTTAAGATAAATTTCTTCAAAATTGTTCGTTTTGTACATATTGTTTTAATCTTTTGTCTTAACTTATCTTCATCACTCTCTTCGCCTTTACCACTTGGATCCAATTGGGCAGACACTCCTTCATCAAAAGTAGCACTATCCTTTTGAACAATTTTCGGTTCATTTTTTTTAACACTTTTATCCATGTTTGATATGAACAAAGTTGAAGATCCGTTTTTTTTTTTTTTATCTTTAACAAGATTAACATTCATACTATCCTTACGAATTGTTTTTTCATCTATTTTTCTGTTTTCTTCAATGGAGAGAAGATTATAATATTTTCTATAAGTATTCATCAAACTTGTATTAAGCTTTTTTGAAGGAAAAAGAATTATCTGAATGCTTCCAATGTGTTTTTTCTTTTTATGCACACTGAGGACTAGTATAGACTTGGAATTATTTAACCATGTATTTACACTAATGCATATGTCGATAGTATGTGATAAATTTTGTGCGTTTAAATTATGTACAAAATTTTTTTCCAAAAAAAAATTCTTTATCAAAATAATAAACATATTATGATAATGAGGGAGATTTCTATATTTACATTTCTTTCCTAACTTGGTATTCAAATCATATTCAAATCCAATATCTATATTCGTATAATTATTTAACATCATATTGTTCTTATAGCTACCTAAAATTTTACTCCCTTTTAATTTTATACTTTTAGCATATGCTTCTTTGAACTCGTTTTTCTCATGTACTACATATTTGGTTAAATCATCTTTTAAACTATTCACAAAATCGATTGTTGCATCTTTTACTTGTGAAAGCACACTCAAATTAGTTACATTTTTCTTGTGATAATTCAACCCAATTAGTACATCCTTTAGATTACTCTCATTTTTTATATCTTCATAATTTCCATTCACCTTGCTAGCAATCAATTTAAGTTTATCTTGATCAGCATCTTTCATGGAATTTCCCACATCCAACTGGAAGTTCACTTCGCCCAATTTAGGGCGTTCCATTTTTGTAACCTCCTATTAGTTATGATAATGAAAATCTTATTGTCTTGATTTCAGAAAGTTTGTAATTCTTTCTTTCTCCAAGAGAGATGGTGCGAGTTAAAAAAAAAAAAAAAAAAAAAAAAGGGGAGGAGATAATACGAAAAAAGCTTTTCCTATGTGTCTCCTTCGTGACATACACAGTTGGCTATGTAACGTATAATTAGTCTCTCTTTACGATATTTTACTTTTCTTTTCAATGAACCTCCTCCCACATGTGAATGCTTTTCTCCTAAATTTTTGTTTTTTATTTTATTCAAATTCGGAAGTAACTTCCCCTTTTTTTTTTCTTTTTTTTTCTTCTTCTCTTCCTCCTACTCTCTGATATGTTGCACTCAAAAAGTATGTGCTGCCGGGGTGTCAACTTTTCCAAACAAACATGTAATGAAATCCAATTGGATGAAATCCAATTTAGCATATGTATATGTATATATATATATATATATAAGTATATAGTTAATTATTTGTTTTCTTTTTAAATTTCTCTTCCCCAAATGTTTCGGGTGCTTTTTCCCCTCTGTTCTGCCTTGCGTACTTTTTCACCATCGCATGTTCAGTGTTGTGATGTGGTATATATTCATTAAAAGGGATGAAAAAAAAAAAAGGGTTATATTAATCTTTTTTTTTTTTTTTTTTTTTTTTTTCTTCCTATCACTTCGAAAAGGTCAAGAAGAGCAAAAAAAGGATATACACCTCCTGTGTATATACAAGGCATACATACACGTAACATATATATTCTCATGTATATATATTTTTGCAAAAAATCTGCCCTTTTTTTTTTTTTTTTTTTTTTTTTTTTTGTGAATCCTCCTTAGCTGCAAAAAATGAGAAAGTTCTTCTTCTTTCTTATGTGAAGTTTTCTTCTACATGAAAAGTATGGAAAAAAAAAAAAAAAAAAAAAAAAAAGGTGTTATACAATTGCTCATGTTGGTACTATTCAAATGGTTCTGGAGTTTTTCCAATAATCTTTTTTTTTTTTTTTTTTTTTTCATCTTAATCCCTATGAATATTAGTAGTGGTACGACACACAGCTCGGTGTTTTTTTTTTTTTTTTTTTCTTTTTCAGCTTTTTGCAACATCTCAAGAAGTGCATTTATGTGGAACTCCCAAAAAACTTCCACCTCTTCTTTTCAAGAAAATTTATGCACAAATTTGTATTCCTTTACCCTGAGGCGTAAAAAAAGAAAAAAAAAAAAAAAAAACATGTTAATATGAAAAGAAACACATTGCTTCTTTTTTTTTTTTTTTTTTTTTTTTGATTTATGTTGACATATTTTCTCCTCTCCTCTTGATACAAAATTGTGTATTTTTATACATTTACTCATTCATGCATTCACTTTTTTTTTTCTCCTCTTTCGTGGCACTTTTTGGATGTTTTCACAACAATGATACATGTTAAGTGTTTTTCTCTCCACTTCACACTGGGCTTTTTTGGATACACATAAAAAAAAAATAAAATAAAATAAAATAAAATAAAATAAAATAACGGTGTGTGTTAAAATGTAGGGAGGGTTTCCACTTGAATCGTACAAGCATGAGTTGGCAAGGAAAAACGCGAAAACATAATAAAGAAAAAAAAAAAAAAAAAGTGAAAAAAAAGAGAGAAAAAAAAAAGTGAACATTTTTGGAATAAAAAAAAAAATAGTTAAAGAGAAAGTAAGCGAAAACAGGGGAAGGAAAAGGTGAGCAAAAACTTACCCACCTGTGACACTTTAGTCGAAATTAAAACGTGATCTTTTCTTTTCTTTTCTTTTCTTTTCTTTTTTTTTTTTTTATTTTGCATAGGAGCAACTGATCTGCACTAAATTTTTCGTGGATTATGGATGGGGAATACACTTTACTATTTCTATGCAGCTTGCATTACCACTGATTGCTTCACCCACGTGAAAAAAATGCACATAAAATAATGGATCGTAGGTGATTCTCAAACATGTCAAAAATGTTCTAAAAATATGCCCAAAACATGTCACAAATAATTGCTTGTATTAGTATACATACCTAGACCCAACACATAAAAGAAAAAATTCGCGAGATTTTCCAATATCCCCACTTTTCTCACAAGTAGAAATTTTTTTAAAAAGTTTTTATAATAATGTGAGAATTAAATCGGACAACATATGAGGGGTGGATGTGTTGGTACCCCTGTTTTTTTTTTTTTTTTTTTTTCTTAATTGTTTCATTATTAACATTGTTTATTTATTTTGTTATACATGTATATGTAAGTACCATGTACATATAATATATGTGTACATACGCATATATTTTTTTTCCCTTTTAATTCCCATTGTTATTACTTTTTTTTGCCTGATTTTTACAACTGTGGTGAATAATAACATGGATGTTATGTCAACTTTACGAGCATCCATAATAGGAACGCATTAAATTTGAGGATTTCAAAATGAGCAGAAAAGGGGAATAGTTTATCGAGGGGAAAAGAGAAACTTTTTCATTTTATTATTTTTTATATGAATCCAATGTAGTATTTCCTAATTTTTTTTTTGGAGGGGGAGGGGAAAAATGAGGAATGGAGGAGGAATGGAGGAAGTAAGATTGGGGAAAAAAAACGAAGGACATGCTTCCCTCCTTTTCCATTTTAACTCATTCTACACGTGCACTTGAATTATACATTTGGAAAAGCAAGAAAAGAATTACCTTACAAAACGTGAATTGGTAGAAAAGCATATTAGATATCATTAGAAAAAGGCAACAAAATTGAAGTATTCCCCGTTTTCTCGGTTTTCCCCGTTTTCTCCGTTTTCTCGGTTTTCCCCGTTTTCTCCGTTTTCTCGGTTTTCTCAGTTTTCTCCGTTTTCTTTGTTTAATTTTTTTTTTTTTTTTTTTTTTTTTTTTTCTTCACCGTCGTACGAACTTCCACCTTTGTTATAACATGTTTGATGACAAAATTGGAAAAATCAGAAAAGTTTGACATAATTTACAAAAAAAATTGTGAACCATGGATCCATCATTCATCCCGAAGGAGCTAGCAGGGAAAGACATCTACAAGATTCTGGGTCTCAGCTATAACGATGCAGATAAAGAAAATATAAAAAATGTAATAAGAAAAAGGTACCTCAAGTATGCTCTAATTTTGCATCCAGACAAAAATGAAGGTGTTGAGAAAAGTGAAAAAATCGAAACAAGCGCTGACAGTTTTAACACATTAAAATGTGCATACGAGTTTTTGATGAATGAGAATCTCAGGAAAAAGTATAACCACTATGTAGCTGAGGAGAAGGCAAAAGAAGAAAACAAAAAAGTGAAAAATGTGAGACCCAGTAACATTAGTCTTAGCAGGTTTTTGGATGAAAAAATATTTGATGCTCATAAGAATGAAAAATTAGCATACAAACGAAAATTAGAAGAACAGGAAAAAAAAGCTGCGAGGGAAAGGAAGTGTTATGCTTCGAGAAACACATCAGAGACGTGGCAATCAAGTATGAAGCATTCTCCTTCTTCAACTTTTAATTACCGTGCGTGTGGGAAGAGGAAAAAAAAAAAAAAAAAAAATGCAGACGAGGAGATTGGCGAAGAAGCAGATGGTGATGAAGAAGCGGAGGGTGATGAAGAGGACATGGACGAGATACAGGCAAAAGGGAGAGGGGAATATTTAAAAAAAATCAAAAGAGAGAATGAAGAATTCATGAGAAAGTATTCTGCTGAACCATGTGGTAAGAAAAAGGGACATGAAAAACTTAACGATGATAAAACAATCGAAATTTACCTTAACAATTATTTATGCAACGTTAACTTACTCCAGGAATATATAAAAGAAAAACATTTTATAAATTTTTTTATAAATTTTAATTTTTTAAAATATGAACTTAATATGAATGATAAAGAAAAGAACAATGAAAGGAAAGTTGGATATTTTATTTTCTCACATCGAAGCGAAGCTATAAGTGCTTATCTATATTACAAAAAAAACGCAAACAAAATATATCACAACTTTAAGTTAAAGTTGGTACTACCTTGTAATGACAACAAAAAAGTAGGAAGAGATCAAATGTCAGAACAGCACAAGGGGGAGGAAGAAGACAAAAACAACAGTGACAAAATTATGAACGAAATGGTTAATGAATTAGATAAGATGTTTTTTTCTGTCTGATTGTGTTTAGCTCTCTCCTTTATGTTAAATTGGAAGAGAAGGGGACTCAAAGGCCCCACTTTTTTATCCATCCTTCCCTATTTATTGTCAACAAAGGGGAAACTACATTGCTACAAAGTAAAAAGTTTTTAATTTTTTTTTTATTTTTTAAAATGATTTTGTGTGGCAGTAGGAAAAATTACCAAAGTGAGGTCATAAAAAAATGCGCACATTTTGTTGTCCACAAATGGATGACTATATTGAATGTAATTACATATCCATACGTTGAAAAGGTTTAAAACAAAAAAAAAAAAAAAATTCACAAACTGCAAGCATTCTCGCATGGCCCAGATGAGTCTAGTATCTATATGCAGCAAATCGTGTGGTAATATGTATAGCGAGAGAGATGTGTAGCAAAAGAGATGTTGTGGGTGGAATGTGTGCTGTGTGTATGTGGAATAATTCGAGTCATGAATTAAATTTCTGCCTTTTTTCGATTCAGAAAAAGAACATGTAGAGATGTCTACAGGAAAAAGCATATTTGTGCATTTTTGGCCAATTAATATCTCGTAAAAAATTTCAAAATTGTTTAAAATTGCTCCATTCTCTTTTGTGTGCTATATTTCATCATGCCTTTTCAAAAAAAAAAAAAAAAAAATACCTCTCATATTTTTTTTTCACACTTTTGAGCTTGGAATAGATAAATGCTGGTTACGTGAAAAACGACCTGTGTTGTCTGAGTGAAGTGCAGCAATGAGCAATGTGTCCATCCCCTTTTGTACTGCTCTCACCTTTTTTTTTTTTTTTTTTTTTTTCGTACATTTCCTCCGTATGCATTTTATAAACATCAAAAGGAGTATGCACACCTGAGCGCATCCCCTTGCACGCTCTGTTATTCGCGCGGAGTATTGGGGAAGTGGTGAAAAATTGAAAAAAAAAAAAAAAACAAAATAAAAATATTTGCATGCGATTCTGTCATTCTAATTTGATCTAGTCACACCAATTTATTCTATTTTATGTTTTTTTTTTTTTTTTTTTTTTTTACTCTATTTTATATTTATTTATTTTATTTTTTTTTTTTTTTTTTTTTTTTCCACTTTGTCCACTTTTTCTGTTTTCCCCTCCATCGCCACTCCAAAAATGTGGTGAACTTTTTGTAACGACGTACCTGTCCACTGAGCTGTGCCACGAGTAGTCCATTTTTTTTTTTTTTTTTTTTTTCCCTTTTTAATTTTTCATTTTTACCAAGTTAATAAGAAAGAAAACTGTATAAACATCCCAATGTTGTACGGGAACATGGAACAAATAAGTTGTACGAGAGAAGAGAAGCAATTGCAGCGGCTGCTTAGGAAAGTGCAAGACTGTGGATTATATGATGAAATAGAAAAAGAGACAGTTGATAAGAATGTAGTGAAAAAGATATCAATTTTATATGACATTTTTCGAAGAATAAACGATGAGAAGAATGGGAAAAATAAAGATTTCCTATATACAAGTGACATAAAAGATTCATTAAAATATGATGATTTTGTTCGGGTAAGATTTCATATAATCCCCATGGAAAGAAAAAATGGCATAATTAAATTAGAAGATGAAGAGAATTACCATTACATTGAAAATATGAACAATATAATAACGAATATTTATAACCCTTCAAGTTATGACAAATTTGTAAATTATAAAATAGAAGAAGATAAAGAAAAATTAAAGTGTATGCTGAAATTTGTTAACGAAATTGAATGTGCATATATATATAAATATCGTAGCGATAATAATATAAAGTTAACATTTGAAGTTTTCTGTCACAATTTCTACATATTCTTATCATATGATTATAAAAAAAAATTGGCCATAAAAAATTTTAAAAATAAATACACCTCTCTAGAAACAAATGATCAATTTAAGTTTTCTATCCCACAAAATATAATGCATATAAATTCAATTGGAACTGTTATCAATACTTCTAACGATCCCTTTGAGCGTGACACTTTGGATAGGTTAAATCCATTCATTTTTGAATCCCTCGAAATGATTAAAGAATTACATTCTACAAAAAACACACCTATACTACTCCCAGCAAAAATTGACAATGACTTCTTCATCAAAAATACTCACTATGAGGAGGATATGCGAAGATTAATCAAGCTCAACCGGATTACTAACGAGTATAAGCGTCTTCGTGCCCATCTCTCTAAGTGACACTTTTAAGACATTTCCCATGTAGACATTCACCAAAGGGTTCTGGCCCATTCTGCTTGCATCAAATCTTCAGAACTTGTGTATGCACTTGTCTGATGTTTTCCTCCCATCAAGCCAGATTACTACACGGTTTTAGCATAACTTAGGTCTCACTCCACAAGTGCATATATATATATATATATGTGCTCATCTTGAAAAGCATTTGATGGGCTATCTCGTTCATCTCACAACTACAAGTGGTTTTGTCAAGGCGCTTAAACGTGGCAGACTCATCCAGCACACCGCTGCATAACAAAGTATTCACATCCTCGGGTTCATTAAGGAATCATCCAGATTTTGTTGAAATGCACCACTCACTCATTTTGAAGTAGAGAATACTCTTAAAGAGGGTTTCCAACAGAGAGGAACTTATCTCATTATATTTTCGATCATGTAAAACTGCGTATGGGATATACATCTGTGTAGTGGGCCTTCAGTCAATTACATCTCTTTTGCATAGCTGGTATTTAGTTAAGTCTTCATTTTGCCAGTAACCTGATTTTTTTTTTTTTTTTTTTTTTTGTATAATGGAAGGGAGAACCACTTGTTCGTGAAGAAACCGTTGCAATACACATTTCTCAAATCATAGATAAGCACTTGGCCATCCTAGCAAAAAAAAAAAAAAAAAAAATAGCTGCAGAATCTCCTAACCCACGTGCGTGCTGAAAAGGGATGAAAATTGCTTTCTATACATGTACATATATATATGCATATGTATGTTTTTTTTTTTTTTTTTTTTTTTTTCTACCCCTACCAACAATGTATGCACAGAAAATGTGTGTTCATAAAAAAATTGGCAGCATTTCCTGTTTCCCCGCAATATGTAGAATTTTTGACATGCTCATTTCGGTTACTTAGTAGTGAACATTTGATTGCCCTTCCAACAAGGGCCTCAATTACCTCTCGCAGGTCGCTAAGTCTCGCACGTGACAATCTGGTCATACACATTGCATATGTATATGTACACGTATGTACGTATACGTAGGCACATGTGCTTTCCCAAGGAGCGCATGCCCGTCGAGTCCTTGAGGTACTTGAGCAAATTTTTTTTGCGCAGTTCAACCAATGACAATCTGGCACACGCATACATGCGTATACATATACATACATACATACATACGTGTAAGGCCCTTTTGAGAAACGAAGCGCGAACGAGAAAACGGATCAATTCTAACCAGTTTGACCATTTTTCTGACATTTCCCCGAATTGTGTAAACATATTTATTTTATTTTTTTTTTTTTAAAATAATCACCAAATGGAGTTGGAAGTAGTCAACCTGAAGAGAAACATGACAAATATCTAAATGCCTTTTTTTTTTTTTTTTTCTTTATTTTTCTTTATTTTTGACCCTTCAGAATGGATTGGATTCTAGGAAAAGTTGTCAACGTGGCTAATAGAGAATGGAATATCCTTTGGATTAATGGTATTCTACATTTTAGCATATCCAAATTTTCCTTCTATTTTGACATGTAAAAAAAAAAAAAAAAAGGGAAAATTAACCTACAATTGTGTCTTTTGTTACCATACTAACTCATTTCTCACACCATGCAAATGAGAACAGAACACTTTTGCTTCATCCGAATTTTTCTCCCTTTTAATCTTCAGCCAATCGACGCATAACATATTACCCTAGCCGCAGGCAGGAGGGCCACAAAATAGTAAGTTAAAAAAAAAAAAAAAAAAACACACGCACGCACATAAGTGCATATAAGCATATAAACATATAAGCATATAAACATATAAACATATAAACATATAAACATATACATATACGTACATGTAACATATGCACACCATATGGTTTTTATAAGCCTCTGTTTCAAGCGTGTCCTGAAGGACTTTTTTTTTTTTTTTTTCACTTCTGTTATACACATGTTGAGGTTTCTACACGTCTGTTATACACATGTTGAGGTTTCTACACGTCTGTTATACACATGTTGAGGTTTCTACACGTCTGTTATACACATGTTGAGGTTTCTACACGTCTGTTATACACATGTTGAGGTTTCTACACGTCTGTTATACAAGTGTTGAAGCTTCTACACGTCTGTTATACACATGTTGAGGTTTCTACACGTCTGTTATACACATGTTGAGGTTTCTACACGTCTGTTATACAAGTGTTGAAGCTTCTACACGTCTGTTATACAAGTGTTGAAGCTTCTACACATCAGTTATACAAGTGTTGAAGCTTCTACACGTCTGTGATTATTACACATATCTAACCGTTTACACACGCAATGTCATGAAAGGAACTCATGCTAGGGAAGCACCGGAAGAGGAAAATCAATCCTCCCATATACCCAGTGCATCCAAACGAAGAAAAAAAAAAAAACCTTAACAATTTTATAACATATAAAGATTTGAAAATACGATGGAGAAGTACGTCCAAAAATTATCGTAAAAAAGTAACAATAGCTAGGAAATGGAAAAATTTACATTGTCTATTACCAATGAATAAGAATTCATGTATATTCATTTTGCATAAAAATTTGCCAAAAACTCGTTTTACAAATAAAAATAACATCCATTCTGAAGTCACTGGGTATAGCACCACCCAACAACCATGTGAAGTTTCTACTGATGAAAGAATCAAGCAGGTAATGTACAGTGTTCTATAATCTGCAAATAGAGGGAGAAGGAGAAAGAGGAAGAAGAAGAAGAAAAAAAAAAAAAAAAAAAGGGTACAACACAAAATGGTTGAACTTTTATGCATAACTTTATACATAAAGAGTAGTTCATTTATGTGTTCGTTTCATATATTCATTCACCCACGTGGTGCATATTTTTTTTTTTTTTTTTTTTTTTTTTTTTTTCAGATAAGCGATAGTGGTGCATCCAGTGGAGGATCCCAACAAATGGTCTTCTTTCAGAATGCAAAAACAAATAACACTGTGAGAAGAGGGAGAAAGGTGAAAAATAGAAACCCGATACAGGGACACGTAGTAGGTAAGCAAATAAGCCCAATTGATGAGTTAGATAAAGATGGCCAAATATATTCACATGATCAAACTAAAGAGCTGAATTATCACGAGGTACCACCAGCAAACATGGATCGTCTAATAAACAAAAACAAAGAAGATCTTTTTTGCATTTTCAAATCAAATTTTATAAATGAACACAAAGTGACAATTGGAGATATTGTCCAAACAGAAAAGTTACACAGGAGAAAAGCAGGAGATGTTGTATATTTTGGAACAGTTCTTCTAGTAGGTTCAAAACATTTTACTATAATTGGAAAACCAACAGTCCCTTACTGTAAGGTTAAAGCAACAATAGAACAAATAACTCTAAGTAAAGAAATATTAAGTTTTAGATATAAGAAGGTAAGACGATCAAGTAGATTCTTAAGAATTAAACATTGGATTACCATCCTAAAAATTGATGATATTATAATTGACACAAAGCAGACAATAAAGGATGAACGAATTAAGCCTTTGCAGATACTCGATCTATGGGCTAATCGATGGTTATATCAGAAAGAATTGAACTTTATCAAATTTAACGAAACTGGCACCAAACCATTAGCTGAGCAAATTTATGACCTAGTTGAACATCAACCTAACACCTTGCATAGGAGAGGCCTCACAGAATGTTATCGATTTTACCCCGACCCCAACGTTCCCCCATCGTACTAATACGATTGTATAGTAGTGTATAAACGATTAACAACCTGTTCACGCTTTTTCTTTCTTTTCATCCGTTCCTTCATCATCTTTTTTTTTTTTTTTTCTTTTTTTGTAAAATGGTGAGAAAATGTGATTAATTTTTGCGAATGTGCCGAGCATGTACATCACATTCATATTTTTACAATGCCTTTTTTTTTTACATTCTTGCACTATTTTTTTTTTTTTTTTTTTTTTTTTTTTTTGTCACCTTTCTGAATATTCCTCATTTTATCTCCAGCAAACTACCCACATATCTTTTTTTTTCCTATGCACTACAAACAATTGAACAGTCTTAAAAATGAAAATTCTCATTCTGCGACCTTGTTACTCAGAGACCTGAAGTGTAACTTGGATTGAAAAAAGTTTACACAGAGAAAGAAGAAAAAAAAAAAAAAAAAAAAATTGGTGCATGTACTAAACACAAGTTGTCAATTAGAGCAGATATTTACCCTTGTGGAAAGTTACGCATAAGCTGTTTTAATTTGTATATATATATATATATATATATATATATATATATATATATATATGTACATATACGTAGTGTGGCCCCTACAACATATAACACATAGCTGATAATATGGGGGTGAAGTTTGAGTTCTTCCGGTTCTTTAAACTGAACTACTATTCTTTTTATGTGAAAAAGGAAAAGCTTTATACTTTCCTTCACACAACGACAGCGTATTCCCTTGTTGGATTGACTATCTATCTTGGTATGATGTGCACTCCTCACTGATTCGTATCATATATGCTTGTGAGAAAATACTTGGGAATTTTTATCAATGCGGGTTTCCCTGTGTGCCAACATTGTTGAACTTTACCCATATAATCTTCGCCCTATTCTTTCCTCACATACACATTTCTTTTGGATCATTCTCTCAGGTTATTCATTCTTCCATATGTGGAATGATGCAGTACATTACTCGTACAAGCATTACATAAGGAAAGAAGTAAGTCAAAAGTGAAATACGAAATAAGGGACAAAATGCGTTAGATTTTTTCCTGCAGCATATTTTCTAACCCGTGGTGTCGTATGCGTTTGGAAGAGGAACTTTTCAATTTTTGTAGCAAAACTGGCAATTTTGGAGAGTTCTCAAATCAGCGAACGTTAGTGTGTTAAATCTAGTGTTAAATTTTTTTTATAGTCATATGATTTTTTTTTTTTTTTTTTCTCCCCCCCCCCCCTCCTTCCCCTTTTTATAACACGTTTGAAGAAGCAACGAAAAGAACTGTACGATAAAATCAGGATTGCTCGGGAGAATGGTCTTATACCGAAAAGTGAAATTGATTACTCGAATTGATTATTTATGTTGACCACTCGAGAAAATCACTTGACTGGTCAGGCAATTAGTCTAAATAATTAAACAACCAAATTTAGCTAGTCAAAAAAAGCACACATTTTATACTTGCCGAAATAAATTCCCACCTAAAGAAAATAATCACTGAAGAGAAAATCCATTCAATGGGCATAAACAAATATATATGGACAACATACAACAAGTTCATAGTTGTGTTTTTCACTTATAATATCATATATGAGAATTAACTAATATAAAACCAGATTTTTTTTTTTTTTTTACAGAGAATATATTACCTGAACAGGTCAGGTTATTCATAAGTCAGTTGGAAAAAAAAAAAAAAAAAAAAAAAAGAGCATTGCTTAACGCTAGTATTCCATAGGTACTTTACACAGTTTTATCATAACTACTTCAGCGGAAAGATATAAATTGGACAAAATTGTCATACGACAAGGAAAAGAATCATCTATGTTTGTAAAGAGACAAAAAGGAAGTACTAGAGCGAATTACAAGAGAGAATTGCACAAAGGAAGAAACGAGCGCAACTTTAGTCGAACGCAAGAATGAAGGGGAAAAGAAATGACATGTATTCATTTATTATCCTCCTCTTTTATATCCATCTTCCAGCACAAATAAAAAGTAACAGTTGTCATGGCAACAAAAGTAAAGATGGAGACGCATTGCCAATGTATTTTTCAAACGATATAAATATAAAATTTTTATTTGACTTTTTTCAAGTAACAAATAGGTACGAGTTTTTTCTTTGCAATGTGATATGCTTATTGTTGGGTATCATATCTGTATATATTAAAGTTTTAAAAAAAATATATTTCAAAAAATGTCCAAATGCATTAGAGGAACAATCAATCATGGTGAACAACACGTTTTCGCACAAAAATGTGAAGTACGGGATTTTATCCCTTTTTAATTACACAATTGATTTTGCACTAATGCTTATAGTTATGACTTTTAATGTGTACATATTTTTAAGTGTAATTTTGGGGGTTTCTGTTGGGTATTTTTTTTATGGCCATTTATTGACACGATAAAGTGTTGTCCAAGAGAGACCACCTATGGAAGAGGTTGTGTGTTTGCTAGCTGGGCGAGAACGCATAACAAGCTACAGAGAATTTATACATATATGTCTGTATATATATATGTATATATCTGATTGTTCATCTCGTTGAAGATGTTACAGTGGACTTGTTAGCGAAGCTTTTAGAAAATCAGGCCTAATTTCGAAACTTCTTCTCTTGTGTCGTACTCTGTCCCTCGCGCGAGATAATCGAAGAAAGGGATTACATCCATTAACATATTCACATTGTACATGCATGATCTTATCATGCATGTGTAGAAAAGGAGTTATCTTCTTCACAACAAGGGAGAAGGAGCTCCTATTTCGTTTTAGTAGGGATGTGTCATAATGACATAGGAAGTAATGCGTATATTGAACTGTACCTTATTGTGTATCACAGTCTAGTCTAGTCTAGTCTATTTTTTTTTTTTTTTTTTTTTTTTTTTTAAACATTTCAGTAAAACAGTTTTTTTTTTTTTTTTTTTTTTTTTTTTTTTTTTTTTTTTTTTTTTTGGTTTTTTTTGAAAAGTAGTTTAAATTTTTTTTTTTTTTTTTTTTTTTTTTCCTCACCCTTTTTATGTATATGGATGCTTTTGGAAAGGGGTTAAGATTTATCTACATGAACTTTTTTTTTTTTTTTTTTTTTTTTTTTTTTTTTAAAACATTTCAGTAAAACAGATCTGTATTGTTTACTCGTTGAAGATTTTTTTTTTTTTTTTTTTTTTTTTTTTTTTTTTGCGGTTATTAGAGGGGGAAAACAAAATTTCCGTTTTTTAAAATATGAATGATGCATGGGAGACATGTTACACCAATTTTAAAATGGATAGAATAAAATAAAACATGGCGAGAAATGTAAGGCGAAAATATAAGTGAAAGGATAAAAAAAAAAAAAAAAAAAAAAAGAACTATCATATGTGTATATTCTCATTTGTGCAACCTTTTTAACAAGTTGGAAAAATTTTTCTTTTTTTTTTTTTAAAACATTTAATCACTATTGTTATTTTGTACATTTCTGTACAAATTTTTTTTTTTTTTTTTTTTTTTTTTCTCTGTTTTGTGCAAAAATGTATTCCCCTTTTTAAAACATGCAACAGGGAAAAGGCACATACAACCAAACTTGGAAAACCAGCATGTAGTTCTAAGTATCGCCCAGTGTTGCACCCTGTTTGTATGCAAATGTGTTTCTTCACCCCCTTTGTCCTTGCAACTGTGTGTTCGTCTGTTCTCAAACTTGCCAACCATCTGACTCACTAACCATGTAATCCATTAATCTTCGAATTCTCTAATTCTCCAATTTCTAAATTTTCCAATTTCCAGATTCTCCAATTTCCAGATTCTCCAATTTCCAAATTTTCCAAATTCTCCAATTCCCTAATTCCCCACTTTTCTTTTCTTTCTTCTGTGCGGATTTTCAATTACCCTTGTTGTTTTGCATTTCTGAAAATTTCCCCTCTTCCAATCTTCCCTATCCCTCTTCTTATTTGTTTTGTTTTTTGCTAAAAGTTCTCAAACTGCAATCACTACACCAAAGTAAGAAGTACCCACTGATTACTTTATCCTCTGTACTTGAGAAAGAACATGAATTCCACAAAAATCAGAAAGGGAATAATTGGAAACGATAATAACTGTGTCCCAGGAACAACCTTAAAAATAAGCAGTAGTAGTATACATACTACTACTGAAGCTGAGCCAGATAAGACAAGAATTATTAATAAACAATTTGAATTTCAGATGAAGAGAATGGACACACAGGTTCACTCAGTTGAGATGGAGGTCATAGCTAATGAATCACCAAATGGGGTTACACGGCAGCTCAATGATGTCGAACGAAGTTCAAGTCAAGGGTTAGATGACCAAAGGCAAAGAAGCAGGAAAAAGAGTGATAATAATGTAGGTGATCTAAGGGTAGATAGTTGGAAGAATGAGATGCAAGTAAAAAACCGGCCAGTAAATAATGATAGCGTGAATGAACAGATGATGAATCGCTCAAACAGCAACAGTGAAAAGGGAAAAAAAGGAACCCAAAGTAACGTCCAATTTCATAAACTTTACGAAAGTGATGAAAACAATTTAGTGTCCCCGCGGGACAATTGTAATAATGATGAATCAGTTAAAAAAGTTCCAAGTTCTTCAACAGAAACAAAAAGGAAAAAAAAAAATACTAACATGATGTTGAACACTACAATACTTCAGTCATATATACATAAAAGCTACGACAAAGTATCGAATGCTTTTATAAAAACTTCCAAATCTTTACTAAGAACAACAAATAATAATATTGGTTACCCAGATTGGGCAAACGGTGCAGGTAAGATGCACGAAAAAAACACAAAAAATCGTGAAGTCAGTGGTGGAAATTCTGATGAAGAAAATAAAATTAAAAGCACCCGGGCGCTACTAAGAAATTACATGGATGAGCTTGCTAGCAGGGATGAGATGAAAAAAAAAAATCTTCCGACGGTTGGCAAAGCTCCCAGTCCAGCTAGCGAAACGGTTGATCAACCGACTCACCAATCAGAGGATTATCCGTCTCGCCAAAATGCCAAAAAAAAATTTGACGAAAAAAAAATTGATGAAAAAAAAATTGACGAAAAACAATTTGACGAAAACACGTTTTTTGCGAACAATTTTGATGTGCTGAATAAAATATTAAGAGAAGATAACAAACGCGTGGAGGAAAATAAAGAGCGAACGTTGAAGAGGTATAAAAAACTATTAGATAATAACGACACACTAAAAATGTATAAAGAAATAAATGAACTACACGATGAAAGAATTTTGTTGATTAAATTTATTAACTATCATATGAACATGAATTCAAAATATGAAACAGAACTGCAAAAAATACAAACATCTTATGAAATATTACTTACAGAAAATGAACAACTAATCCAAAACAATATAATCCTAAAAAAACATATAGATTTGTTACAAGTTAATGGCACGAGTTCGCAGGGATGACATGCGATAACGAGAACCATCCGCATGACCAATTCAGGGATTAAAAATGAAAGCGGTTGAATATGTGTAATATGTATAATATGTGTAATATATATGTAATATTTGTAATGTTTGTAATATAATGCGTATTATTTGTAATGTTTGTAATATAATGCGTATTATTTGTAATGTTTGTAATATAATGTGTATTATTTGTAATGTTTGTAATATATGCATATTATTTGTAATGTTTGTAATATATATGTAATATTTGTAATGTTTGTAATATATGCTTGTATACGTCACCTGATTCTCATGGATGATCTCGATTGACGCACCGCGTCCGAATTCCTCGGATGTGAGTTCCCACATGTGGAGCTAGAGATAATGTTGAATAGATCCATAATCAAATATATTGTCTATGTACGAAGCAATGATTCGGAAAAATGAAGAGTGTATATATCTCCACCTTTTGCCCAATTGAGGAGAAAAAAAAAAAAAAAAAAAAAAAAAACAGAACAAAATAATCACCTTATGATCTACCCACATTATTATTATATCATAGGTATGTATTTTCCTCCATCCCACACACCCACTTCGTGCCTTTCTACACATTACTCATTCTTTTTTTCTTTATCAACTTTTGTATATACATATATGTGAATGAAAGAACAAATGATATATATTTTAGAAGCAAAATTTTAAAGGAATATATATTTTTTTTCTCTTTTGCTATTTACCAAGTGTTAAAAAGAAAAAAAAAAAAAAAAAATTCCCAAAATTGAGATGCATTATTGTTTCCTTAATATTGCTACATTTTAAGCAAATATATAATTAAAAAAAAAAAAAAAAGGATTAACAAACAAATGCTAAAATAACAAAATATTTAAATATTTTTCTTAATTTTTTACAAAATATAAAAAAAAAATTAGCTAGATATTTAAATACAATTTATTTCTTCATAGCATTCCTCTGCTCATCTTCTTATCGTACCTGTGCCAAGGGGAGTGGTGGTGGTAGGTATAAGAAGAAACAAAAAATGTATACATATATACACATATACACATATACATATATACACATATACACATATACATATATACACATATACACATATACACATATACGTATATATATTAAAAAAATGAGACGAGATTCATATAGAAAAAAATTGAAAAAAAAAAAAAAACCTATACTTTGGTTTACTTTTGCACTCTTTTTTATTTTTTTTTTTTCTTTCTTACTGGCGTCTGTGTGATTTCCCTTTGTTTGTTGTTTTTTTCATGTAATACCGTTTGCTTTTGTCTCCTGCGAGAAATAGTGGTGTGTATAAGAAGTATGTTAACAAATAAACGTGTAGACATTTATGCGTACCATGCGTTCAGGATACGTGTAAAAATGTATGCACTACCATATATGCACATACACATCTATATAATAAACCGCATATTAATGTAACGTTGGATATGTACATAAAGTGCACTAAATCTTGTAGTTTCCTTAATTATCACCTTCCACATGTTCCTTTCCCTTCTGCATGGTGCCCTTCTCATGAATTTCTCCTTCTTTAGTACTACTATTCCTGTACTGTTGCGAGGGATGTTCGTCTTTACTAATGGTTCCTTCATCTTTCTTGTTATCTGAATACATTGCATGGAAGCACCTTCCCCGTCCACCACGCATTCTACTTTCGCCACTAGTTCTACTTTCACCATGGGTTCTACTTCCACCATGAGTTCTACTTCCACCATGGATTCTACTTCCACCATGTGTTCTACTTCCACCATGGGTTCTACTTCCACCATGTGTTCTACTTGCACCATGGGTTCTACTTGCACCATGGGTTCTACTTCCACCCTGCTGGGTACTCTCCTCACTACCTCCATCTGCATCTTCATAATTTTTCCTGTACGATACTCGGGGCAATACTTCATTTTGGAAATTTTCCAGCGAATTTTCAGATGTAATATCATCAATACTACTTGACAAATCGAGCATATCGTAAATTTTGTTTTTATTTTCTTCCCCTAGTAAATCATTCGTGTATCTGCTTTTGTTAGTTTTCCTTCTGTGTGATTTCTCTAATCGTGCACGTTCGCGTAGCACATCTAAGATGTTCCTTTGTCTGTTTTTTGAATCCACCAATGGGTTCACCCCCTCGATGTGTTCATCTGCTACCTGTACACCAGAATCGCTAATCGAATCGCCAACCGAATTGCCATGCGAATCGCACATGTTGTTACTCAACCGAAGGTGATCATCATCTCTACGACCCGCATCACTCAGGTCATCATCAAGACAACTGATATCATCGGTACAGTTGTAACTCCAATTCGTCTGGGAATTTTCTGTCTGCTGTTCTTTCATGGTTAAAATTTCCTCAAGAGCGTTAGAAAAGTTAAAATTATTCCTTTGTAGCACTTTTAGAATTATATGAGAATTTTTAAAATTCGAAATTTCCATGATGTGATCAATTTCGTGTTGATACTTTTTCTGTATCAAATTATTCACCTCCCTTTGATTATTTATTTTTAAAAAATTGTTCAGGTAAATATAAAAACCTATGTCTAGTTTACTGTTTAAAACTAAATTTTGCAAAAATTTCCAATTGCATAAATGTATATCATTTTGTAAAAAATAAAATAAATTCATTTTATCACTTTGTTCTTTTAACATATCGATAATGAGAGAAACTGAAAGAAGAGTGTTTTTTTCACATCCGTTCTGCAAATTGTGCTTCACCAGCATCTTTACCACTTTCACAAACATGTGTCGCAGGTAAAGTATATTTTTCCGCATAGTATCTTTCAATGTGTCTTCATACAGATTTTTTATCTACAGAAGAGAAGTAATTGAGGAATATCAATGAAGAGGTGACAATAGGAGGTGTCTTCATATTTGCACCTCGTGTATTCACTAAGTCTATGTACAAAAAAAAAAAAAAAAAACAGGATTACTCAAAATACATTCAAATTTGCATTTATAATATCTACACGACGAGGTAAAAGAAGATAAAAAAAAAAAAAAATCGAAACGAAACGAAACGAAACGAAACGACTCTACACCCATGTGAGAACTCTACAATATCGCAATTCTTCTGCTAATTCATCTCATTTACTGACGTACCATTTCAAAATAAGTCTGAACAATGAAATACAGAAAGGAAGTTCCATTACTGGAACTTTCCTCCTCCTGTTTCAACATATTCGGGGGAGTTATAGACACAGAAAAGTTAATACTGTCCAATCCACGATAAAACATCAATCTCTGCAGAATTAAATCTTTGGTTAACTTGTTTTCACTAATATCAAAATATTTGAAGGGATGAAAAAATTTTACAAAACAGAAAAGAGATACTATAAATTCATTTATTTTGAAAAGTATATTATTTAAATTTCCTTTGTTTTGTGCATATCCTTCTATTTGCACCTTAACTTTTTTTATTTCTTCATATAGAAAAGAGATATATTTATTTATGTTTAAAAAATTAATTTTATTTATTCGATATGCATCATTTAATAAACCTTTAATTTTTTTTCTCCTTTTCGATTTGTGAAACATCATTATGATATCCATAAAAATGTGTATTTTGATAAATGTAGACTTTATTATACTTGTTTCTCCCTTGCTCTTGTTCATATAAATTCTCACTAATTTTATATATAACTTAAAAATATGTTTATCAAATGCAGAATATTCCCGATTTTCTGAACTATCAATAATGGGTAAATCATAGCATCTATTTGATTTCAACAAATGTGAAAAAAAAAAGGAAATCAAAGATCCGTTTCTCTTCAATGTTGTGATGAGGTATTCATCGCTTTGACTCAACAAATGACAAAAGCATTTTTCTACATAGTTTATGTATAATTGTCGTTGTTCCTCTTCTGCATCCTTTATCTCCACGTAAAAAAAGGCTTCCCTAAAATAACCCTTTGATTCCATTTTTTTTTTTTTTTTTTTTTTTTTTTGTCAAAATCAGATGCAAAGAAGCGCCCCCAATGGAAGTAATTAAAATCTTGATAAAATTCAGTAATGAATACAATTATGAAAGTAGGAGAATAACCAAGATTTATATATCCCCTTTTCCAAGTCAGGCTTACCCACTTACAATCTTTTCAAATATATGCTAATCTATGCTACAGTCTAGTGGAATTTAATATAACTGTCGTACTTTTTCCTATGGTGGTGGTGGGGTAAGAATTAATGCAAGATATCGAAGAAAAGAAATTTTCATCTATCCACGGGAGCAGCTCATGATTTTTCTGAGTAACCCCTTTTAAAAGAATTTCTACTTATTGTTTTTCTTTTCTGAATTTCGAAGAGTTACGAATTTCGTCCAATATATTTTATATTCGTCAGATTGGAATTATCCTTTAGTCGATTTTTTATAAAATAATCACATTCTATGTATCTCTGTGTGCAATTCCTTATGCACTTCTTGTTTGTGTTGCTCAGACTTTTTTCTAAAGTTAGAATAGGAAGGGAAGGAAATGTTGGTGATGATGGTGTACAAAAAAAAAAAAATATCATTTGCTCAAGTATGCATGTGTCTAGACTTGGCTATTTATGTCGTGGTTCACATTGCCATGCATGTGTTTTATAACCGCTGCTATAGTTGTTACTATCACTATTAATTTCTTATTTTACACACACGAGTATATACATATGTATGTATATATATATATATATATATATATATATATATATTCATGTTACATATTTTTTTTATTTTATGTATATTTGTTTATTTTTCTTTTTTTTGCTCTTTGCCCCTACCCGGATAACTAACGCATTTATCGAAGCAGTAGGAGGATATCTTACAGGTTTCTTTGAAGGAACTTATTAACTGCTCAATGGGTACGAAATAACATGGCGTGTAAATCTATATGTTCGCATTTTTACAAATCAGATGACATGTGTGGCATATGTTTTGTTGATCAAAGCGTTGCCTTGAGGATGCCCATTTTGGTATAATACCCACAAGTCCAAAAGTTATACATGAATCTATATGTCTACATATATACATATCTACATGTCTACATATCTACATATATACATGTCTACATATATACATGTTTACATATCTACATGTTTACATATCTACATATCTACATATCTACATGTCTACATATCTACATGTCTACATGTCTACATGTGTGTGATCGCACAGCTACAGATGCAGTATGGAGTCGTGTAAATGGAATAGTAATACCTTGTTTAATGTGTTCAGTTGGGATACAAAATTATGGATATTCTCATCTTTTGTGTCGCTATCCATTGTTTGGAAAAACGGGTGAAAATCCATAAAGTGTGAGATGTGTTTCTTTTCTTCTTTGCTTCCTCGCTTCTTTGCTTCCTCGCTTCTTTGCTTCCTCGCTTCTTTGCTTCCTCGCTTCTTTACTTCCTCGCTTCTTTTCTTATTGACTTGTCAGCACCAACACCTTTGATTACTTCTCGTTCACTCTGAATTTGATATACTCACACATTCACTTATTAGGAGAGAAAATACCTTTAGGGGTGGGGAGGGGTCAACTTCAAAATGGATTTCTGTATGAGCACTTGCTCAATAAACGACACACTAAAAAAAAAAAAAAACGAAATCAAAAAAAATGAAGCACAAAAGTGAAGCAATAAGGTGAAGCAAAAAATATGATAAATATGTTTGTCGCCAATTTATTTTACGATACCAAATGAACTCATGGCGTGAACACGTAAAATATCCTACCTGTGTGCATGTAACCACGAAGATTTAGTCAATCCGCTCAAGTGTACACGTGGGGAAATATGCACTTAAGTGTATATACGTACATGTATATATATATATATATATATATATATATATATATATACATGCCCTGCTTTGGTTAGGTTTTTTTTTTTTTTTTTTTTGCAAGAATGAAGAGAATATGCTCTAAACACTCTGTTAACTTTATTGTAGAATTTTACTATTTTATTTTTTTTTTTCTGAAGCATTAATTGAAATTACTTTTTTTAGCACTGACTAGGCGTCGTCCTTTTTTTTATGGCACTGGTTGGGTGTTATCCTATTTATATTTTTTTTATTTATTTTATTTTTTTTTTTTTTTTTTGAAGTTATGAGAATGTCCCTTTTAAACGTTATATAGAATTATTTTATATGATTTTTTTTTTTTTTTTTTTTTTTTTTTTTTTTTAATTCGAGAAATGAAAAATATTGGGGATACATAGCATGGCAGAGATTGGCCAAATTTGTTTTTATTTTGATTTGCTTTTTTTTTTTTTTTTTTTTTTTTTTTTTTTTTTTTTTTTTTTTTTTTTTTTTTTTTTTAATTTGAGAAATGAAAAATTTTGGGGATTTATGTATGGTAGAGATTGGCCAAATTTTTTTTTTTTTTTATTTTTTTTTTTTTTTTTTTTTTTTTTTTTTGTGCGTCCCTCTCAAAAAATCATAGAACGTTGATAAGTTAACAAAAGCGTGAGGGGGTGGAAATGAACGCAAATAACAGGCAATTAGTTAAGGACATCTACAAAATAGGTATACATACATCGTGCTCTTATATGTGCATTTTGCATGTGTGTTTATTTATTTGAAGGTCGCGAAATTGCGTAAAATTTTGAGAACATCATATATATATATATATATAGCACATACTACTACCATTTGGGCAAGTGCTAACCCACGTGTACAACTGTCAATGACACCGCCACTTCCACTGGGCCTTTTTCGCGCCACTGTTAGGACTAGACCACAGGGATTTCATCAGCATAGAAAATCTGGAAGAAATATATGAAAAGAAAAAAAATGTAAAACTAAGGAGAAGCGAAATTGTGTACGCATTGAATATTCTAGAAAATGCAAGAGCTTGTGCAATAAAGAATGAGAACAATAATATTATAACTAAGATGAGAAGTGAAGAAGTTACAAAAAAGTTGAAAGAATTAAGTGACATTGACTTTTTAATTTTTACCAAAGTGGAAAATAGTCAAAATAATGGAATTTGGACAGCTGATTTGAGGAAACAGACCAAATTGCTTGTAAGTTTTTTTTTTTTTTTTTTTTATGAACATTATTGTGTCATAATTTTTTTAAAAAAAAAGACAATTTTTGCCATTTTTTATCTGAATGGTCAGCTCGTTTGTGTGAATTATACCGTTTGGACATATCAAAAAGTGTACACCTACATTCTGTTTATCCATATGTCTACATTCACTAGTATATAACTGGTGATGATGTAGAACATACGTTTCCTCACTTTGAATATGCTTTTCCTTTTCTTTTAAGATCCATCAAGTTCAGAAAGGTGTCAAGATGTTGTGCGAATGTAAATTGATAAAACAGGTAAGGGGAAAAAAAAAAAAAAAAAAAAAAAAAAAAAAAAAAAAAAAAAAAAAAAAAAAAAAAAAAAAAAAAATTCAACGCTCAACGTGAAACATTTGTATGATCGGTTCATATTTTTTTTTTTTTTTTTTCTCCTCTTTTGTCCAGGTTAACAATATTCACGTAAAAAATCGTAAAATGTATATTTTGTATGATTTGGAGGCCTCAGAAAAGGTAACCATGTGTAGGGTGTGAATTTATTTCTCCATTTTTTTTTTCCCATTTACAACAACGTGAAAAGGGCCATATGATAATTTTTCTCGTTTTCTCGTTTTTTTCGCTGCCATGTGGTGATACTTTTGCAAAATAGAACTTTACAGAACATGCAATTTCAGCATCCGCATCATATTTTTCCATACGGTTTCAATTTTCAGGTCATAGGGGGATCATTTTACAAGGATGGAGAATTCAACAAAAAGGTTGTAGATTATATACGGGAGAACATTTGCTTTTACCTGTACAACAATAACAATTCAAATGTTATTTCTGTTATTAATTATGTGAAGAAGCTTAATAACACTGTGGGGTATTTTTCTGACAACGATATATACAGAGTGATAAAGACTTTATTATTTGAGGAAAAAATAAAAATTTATAAAAACAATAATGACGAAGAAGTAATTTATTATTATAATAATGAGAAGAAAAACTATTTCAACAATTTCCCCTGCTTTTCTTGTGATATCTTCAATAAGTGCAATTCGGACACAAAAACTGCAATAAACCCGAAAAATTGCATATACCTGAATTTTTACCTGAACTTGGAGGTAATGATAAGTGCGTTTCTGTTTATGGACACTGTTTTGTTAGCTCTTTTCCCTGTGTTTTTACTTCTCCCATTTTTTACTTCTCCCCATTTTACCACACACTCTTCAGAGCTGATAACAAGATCCTAGGATATGAAAATAAATGAACGAAAATTAAACAACCTTATAAGTCAGACGACCAGTGTGTCTTTTTTTTTTTTTTTTTTTTTTTAACACTTTTTAACATTTTTTATCTTTATTTTAACATGTTTTACCCTTTTTTTAAATTTTTTTTTTTTCACCTTTTTATTTTTTTATGTTCATTTTTGCTTTGCGACTTATGAAGCAAAACCATGCATTATATCTAATGCTTTGAATTAGCTTTAAATTTGTGCACCTGTTGCAATCTCCTTTCTTACCTCATTCTTTCTCTCTACATTTCTTTCCCCTTTTTAAAATAAAACAATGTACACATTTAAAGAAGCTAGTCCAACATTTTTTTAAGACTATCCAATTGTATTAGCTTACCCTTTTTTTTTTTTTTTTTTTTTTTAAAGAAACATGCGAGTGCATTTGACATATTCGAAAAAAAAAAAGAAAAAAGACATCACTTTATTATGTAAAGATTTTTTTTTTTTTTTCTCCCGTATCATATGTGTGATATAAAAATATAAAAAGGGAACAAATTTAAGTTTTTTCCGTTAAATCATTAATATAAACATATTTGATCTTGTGTAATTCAATATACAACTTAAAGCGTAACTATTTTTTTCTTTTTTTTACTCATTCGGTATCTAATTCAAATACCCACTTGAAGGAATAAAAAAAAAAATCACAAGCGTTAAAAAATGACATCATATATAATGTGTATAAATTAGGTTTACTAAAAATTCTGGAGGAAGAGAAAAAATTAGAAATAAAATAAGAACTTGCATCATGATTAGTAAAAGAACGAAAATAAAAAAAGATTGCATTCGGATTAAGGAGCAAAAATTAGAACAGTATGATACATAAAACTGTTACATTTTGTCTTTTTTTTTTTTTTTTCTACTTTTTCTGGTGGAGATGTGATCATGTCCCCAGGTTGTAACAACCGTAAGGGGTGAAGCTTTCTTGCTAATTAGCAAAAACACTACTTTTTTTTCATCTTTTTCGTCTTTTTCTTTTTTTTAATTGTCTATATGTGTAGGGTAGAACACGTAATAACGAGGAATGATTGCGAGGAGTTTATACGTGCCGTCAAAAAGTAAGAGGAACGAGAAAAAAAAAAAAAAAAAAAAAAAAAAAAAAAAAAAAAAAAAAAAAAAAAAAAAAGGGAAAGAAGTAAAGCGTCTTAATAGGTACCGGGTATGTATTCCCTGCTGCAATGGTAATAACCTAACCAGGAGAAAGGACGCAAATGAGTTAAAACGAAAAAAAAAAGAAAAGAAAAGAAGTAAACACTCATCCTTCACCTATTTCATTACACATACATGCTTTCTTTATTGTGTAAAAAAAGATTCAACAAATCCTTCGAAATACAAGACTTGGTGAACTACTGCAAGTTACATGGTATTCCAATAAATGAGTAAGTTTTTGCAATTCTCTTTAAGAAGAACCCTTTAATAATTTCTATTATAACCACAAGTACTTTTGTTGAATAGTTCATACATGCACATATAGAATGTCCTTAAAAATGCAAAGACTTAAAATTTTTTTTTTTTTTTTTTTTTTTTTTTATTTACTTCCTTGAAGAGAGACCATAGAATGCATGTTCGAGGAGTTTTTCTTAAATAAAAAAAACGAGAGAGAGTAAGTCTGATGAAGCATTAAAAATGTCATGAAATTTTTTCTACTTCTTAAGAAGAGGAAAAATACACTCAGCATAAAAAAATGGAAACAATGCAAATTTTTTCTCATCAAAAAGTATAGTAATAGCAAATTGGCCAAGTGCAAAAGAACCTTGTCGCATATTCTTGTCTAACGCTTGAAAAAAAAAAAAAAAAAAACCTAACTACAGATATCGGGAAATTACCGCTGACGATTTAATATCCCTAACATCCAAAAAAACAAACAGATGCTTCTATGTACCCGTAGTTGTCTACATAGGTTATACCTTAGTTTGCATGCAAAGCTGGGGAAAAATGAAAAGAAAAAAAGAATCGAAGCGAAATAAAAAGAACTGATTGACAGCGAACGGATGGGTACATCACATACGCATACACATACATGCACACTTTGGTTCAAGCGGGGAATAACAATTCTGTACTATTCGTATGAGAAAATTCCCCCCACATGAATTTTCGATATGAATCCATTCCTAATTGACATCTATCTGCTTACCACAGGAAAACATCATGGGATAAGAAGTTACGAAGAAGGGTTAATAAAGGAAAAGGAAAAAAAAAAAAATCGTGAAAAAACTGAAAATGAAAATTTGAAAGCACAAGGAGAAAAAGATGATAAAAATAGAAGAATTAATGAAGAAATGAAATATGTATATGAAGATAAAATTTTTGACAAATCGAACTTGCACACTGAGATCCTGTCTGATAATAATAACAATCAACTTCCACTAAAAAGTAACGATCTGAATGAGAAAAATTTTGAGAGAGTTCAGGTGGAGGCACCCCTAGGAGCTACTTCAAACAATAAACAAAGTGATAAAAATGATCACGTGCCAAAAGATGAAACCATAAATGATGAAATGTTAAATGGGGAGAAGAATCCTAACCATAAAGACATACACAGTGACAAACAATCACATGTATCAGTGGATAAAGACAAACTAATCGAAGAAAATATAAAGAAAAAAGCAAATCCTAATAAGAGTAAAAAGAAGAAATGTACCCAGAATAAAAAAAATAAAAATGCACAAGGAACAAATGATGAACCTACAAACCACGTGAAAAGACAAGAAAAGGATAATGAACACAATGAGGGAAACACAAAGGACAAATTAAACACATTAAAAGGTAAAGAGGAACTAAAAAAACATCTAGAAGATGAACACGAGAAGAAAAAACAAATGTATTATGACTTTCTACTAAATCGTGTGATAGATAATATGCAAAAAAAAAGAGAACGAAAAAAAAAATACTTAACATCGTTTAATTTGGTCACTTATTTTAAATTAAACGAGATTATTTACATCTCCTTCTTGGTTGACAAGTATCGTAGTTACTTCCATGGTAAGATGAAAAATGTGTGTAAATAGAAAAAAAAAAAAAAAAAAAAAGTAGGAACAGAAACAGAAAAATCTCGATGACAGAGTATTGCTGGCTGTAAAAGCTGGAATCTTCGTTTCTATGCATGTAGCAATGCGGAACACAAAAAAAAAAAAACACGCGTTCCTCCCAACAGATATAGAAGATAACGACCTGATTGATATCTATGATGAAGAAAACAAAAAAATGAATGAAGGAATGAATCCCAGAAATGACAATAGAGTGGGCAACCAAAGGGACCTCTTAAATGAACTATCCACATTCAACAAGCCAGGAGACGCCAAATCAGACAAAAAGGAAGAAGATTCAATAAATGTGCCACATGATACTAAGCGAAAATGGACAGATGATAATAAAAAAATTACTCTCCTAGATATTGTAAATAAATATAAAGAGGACAAAAAGAGAAAAGAAAAAAAAGTTTATAAAAAATATGCGCATAAGTATATACATAGTAAATATCTAAGCAATTATCAATTTGTAGGGAAAAATGTAGAAAAAATAATGAACCATGTTTTATACAACTTGAATTATTTTTTTAATGAAAATATATTAAATGTAGAAAAATTGATACAAGAGTACAGCACAGTGGTGTGCAACATTTCTCAAACGATGCAAAATGGAAAAGGGAATAATTCCATACATATTTTTATGCCAGCTGTTATGAATATAGGTCAAAAAGAATTCAATAAAAGTAAAACAAATGAGCAGGCTCAAAAACAGGGAAAAAACAATCCCAATGAGGTAGATGGAGACGGTGAAAATTTTACTGTTGAAAATGATTTTCTCCTTTTAAAAGGTGTGGGTGATTTATCACCCATAAATGGAACTACTACATGTGCAACCCCCCAGGTGATGAATAGAAAAAACATTTTTCAAAATGAGAATTCTAATTGTTATAAATCGAATGAAATGGAAAGATTAACAAAAGACTCCCACGTCGGGGAAGACAACAAACGGACAGAAGATGAATTAAAGAGGGGCAAGTTTCATATAAAAAGGGGAAGTGGCAGAAGGCGAGTGAGAAGAATGAAACCTTACTACAAGAACAATACAACTCAACATTCAGAAATTGATGAAATACACGATACGAATTCTGATTTCGAATTGGACGATAGGGAAATTGCTTCGGACAATTGTATCAGTTATGGGAATATAAAACATACCAATGATGAAGTTATGCATAAAAATTTCATTTATTATTTAACATACGATATAAACAAAATACAAATATTTAAAAAGACATACTTCTACAACTTTTTTTTTATCTACATGGTGAAAAAACTTTTCTGGAATATACTATCTTTGTATTATTTATGTTTAACAGAAAGAAATAAGAAAGAAACAACAATGATGACAATCTCAGAAAAAAAAGTACACCTTAATACATCATTAAACTACCAAGAAGACGAATGTGACAATTTCACTTTCTACGAAAGTGATGTTAGTGTGAACAATTCAAAGAAAAACAAAGAAATGTTATACAATACAAATCAAATGCTGTGCAAAAACTTGGATCCTTTATTTAAATTAGTTAGGCAGGAAAAATTGGTTATTTATCTTCGATATGACCAAAATAAAAGAGTAAAATATAAAAACAAAACTGAGTACATATACAGAGAAATATGGCAATACTTAATTTTAACTCATGTAAAGAAGGGAGCAATCGTGGGAAAACATAGTCCCTTCAGCGATTTTGTACTCTTTTGCCAAAAGGAGGAGGAGGAAAAAAAAAAAAAAAAAAAAAAAAATACCTGACCTGTTCATACAATGTTGAACATTTTTTTTTTTTTTTTTTTTCACAAATGGCTAGTTCTACGTATTTTCCAACCAAGGCATTCTTTTTTCTTCTTTTTTTCCACTTGTTTCAGTGTTTAAAAAAAAAGTAGGTTCCCACAAAAAATATGTATAAATTCCTTTTATTGTGTTTTTTTTTTTGGGTGGGGGATACATATAGTTTACCAACACACCTATTCTAGTTGGAAAATGATGGGGACCCCCCTCCCATGAGTAATATAAAATATTGTTCTGCATATTTGATGGGTCATATGGTCATTATGTATTTCATCCTACCATGCAATGTAATATCTCCCTTTTATGTGTACTTTTTTCCTAAACTTTTCATGCTTAATTTGGATCGACACCAGTAGTTTAGTCGAGTGTTCTGAGAATGTGAGTAATTTTTTTTTTTTTTTTTTTTTGTCCCAAGTATATGCATGCAAGGATGTAAGTATATGTTCTACATGAACAATTTGCTTATATGCGTAAACATATATACGTACAAATACATATATGCACAAATGCACATGTAAAAAAAGTTAATGGGATTTTCACCTTGGTAACTGAGGTGGGGGGGGAAAATTCCTGTGGTGAAAAATCCAAACCAAGTGGGTATTAAATATATATATAAACAAAAACCATGAAGTATGAATTAAACAACTCATTTTGCATTTCTCACATTATTACGCAGCTGGAAACAGCCGAATAATAAACGTTTTCTTTTTTTTTCTATTTTTTTCTATTTTTTTCTTTTTTTTTCCCGTCAAACATTTAGCACTTTTTTGCCGCATTTTTTTTCTCAAGCCCACGTAAAAAAAGAGGGCCACAAATTTTGGCAAAGTATATAATATTGCCTTCAACCGGGGACGAGAGGCCTTACATTTACTTCCTGTGAAAAGATTAGCTTTCTTCTCCTAAAATAAATGAACGCAAAAAGGATAACCCTCAGGTCGCTCATAAAATTATCGGTTCGAGAAAAAACCACTTAAATCGCTTAAAAAAAGTGAAAGAAGAGTGTGGGGATAAGTTAAAAAAAAAAAAAAAAAAAAATTAAGTGCATTATTTTATTATTGCCCCTTAAATTTTTTTTTCTTTTTTGGTAAAAAAAAGGGATGGGGGGGAATACACGTGCCTAAATAAATTACTACAAACAAAATATGATGACAAAAACGATTCATGAATGATTTAAAAAAAGAAGAAAAAAATAAAAGAGTAAAAAAGGAATTAAAAAGGAATAAAAAAGGAATTAAAAAGGAATAAAAAAGGAATTAAAAAGGAATAAAAAAGGAATAAAAAAGAAAAAAAAAAAAGATATATTAACACAAAACAAAAGAAAAACGCGAAACATTAACTTTACAGTTATTCGAAAGGGAAACTTTGTTTTACCAGGAAATTTTCTGATCTGCATAAAATACAAGATTATCATCCAAACCGCGCACTCGCAAAAGTAACCATTTTTGCATTTTTTGTACTAAACGATGAGATGAAAGATGAAAAGAAAAAATCTTCTGGGATGAGAAGAGAGATAGAGAGGAGAGCCCTATTAGTGCCTACCGTTTTAACATTTTTACTAACTGCTTGTTTCATTTACAATTGCGAAAAGTTTTTATATGTACACTTTTAACCTTGTGTACACGTATGAACAGGTCATATTCTTTTTTTTGTATGCCTCCCCAATGATATAATATTTTCATAGATCCATTCCATATGATTCCTTTCATTTTTTTCACAGTGCCTCCAAAAGAGAGAAAAACAAAGGAGCAAATAGCAGCTGCAGCAGCAGCATCTGGAAGAAGCAAAAAGAAGGTAACATAAATTATATATATTTCCAGCATATATTACAACACATGCTTCCATCCACTTTTCCATGTTTCGTCAGCACAGGATGTATGATTACTTCTTCTGTGTTTACATAATTCGTGATCTTTTAAAAAAAAAAAAAAAAAAAATGCCCTCTTTTTATGCATTGCTCATAACTGCGTTTTGCACATTAAACTCCACAAACGTGTGTGTGTGTGTATACTGATCTTCACCTATTTATATATATTATTCTCCTTACAGAAATGGGGAAAGGGAAAAAATAAAGAAAAATTAAACCATGCTGTATTTATTGATAAAGCATTACAATCGAAGATTTTGGAAAGCAAAAATATGAAAGTTATCACTCCGTCTACGATATCAGAAAAATATAAAGTGAATTTAAGTGTTGCACGATCAGTTATCAAATATTTATCAGAACAAAATTTAATTAAAGAAGTTTGTATTCAAAGTCATAGTCAAAAATTGTACACGAAAGTTGCTTAGGTGAAATTAGATATATTGTTTGAACATACTTGTTTATAGATCAACATTTATTTATTCTTCAGGTTGTTTTAAAACAATTTTGTTTTTCATTTGGTGACATTTGCCTTGCATCCGTATTTATATGCGCGTGTTACACCATGGGTGTTATTTTTGCGAGTTTATATAAATATATGTATATAAGCATATGTATATAAGCATATGTATATAAATGTATATATATAAATATATGTACATAAATATGCATGCTTGCGCAAAGTGAGCATTTGCGTTCCATAATTTTTTCTTAGCACACACGTGTGTCTTTTATGAATTCATTCAATCCACACAATTATATGTAAAACTTGTACAAAAAGGAACACTTTAAAGAGGACAAACACACATGCAAACATGTATAAATATGCATGCATACGTATATATATAAATATATACATCATTACAAGCAAAAAATTCAGGATTGTAGGTGTATAACGCAATTGTTCATGCTCCATTTCTTTTTTTTTCTTTTCTTTTTTTTCCCCACCCGTGTCGTTAAAAGAGTTAGCAGAACTTATCAATTGGATTAAGCATTCCAGTAATCCTCTATATAAAATCGACCATAAAATAAAAATTCAACCGATAAAGAAATAAAAATACAAGTCTTTAAAAACCCAAATGAATGAAATAAAATGATGATAAAAAAAATAAATAAATAAAAAAGGTGATGCAACTTTAAAAAAAGTGAATAAAAGATTTCTTCTTATTATTCATTTTATTTAACTTTGCGAAAAGTACCATGATCTGAACAAACTTAGTCATAGTTACTCTGATTATTTCATTTATGAAGGGCAAAAAAAGAAAAAAATTTTATAAACATCGCATTTTATATATTGTGAGAAATTTCTTGCGTTTATTGTTTAAAAAAAATACAAGAGTTGAGAGAGGATATGCTGGTCATGGTGTGATGGTGTAATGGTGGAGACATTGGAATTGCTTGTTAAATAACATTTTGAGAGATAAAGTTGTTTAAATCGGAATATACGTTATAAGAAAAAAAAAAAAAAAAAAAAAAAAAAAAAACAAAAAATTTTTCATCAATGTTCATCTATCACGTTACAAATTCATGTAGAATTGTACACAATGTCAAAGTAAGGAGGAATAAAATGTTTAGAGTGCATAGATAGAGAACTGTTTGGATGTCATGTGGAGTGTTCGAAAAGTACGCGAGTAATAAAGTGGGGAAGCCTCTGCATGTGTGTGTGTGTGTTTATGTGTATGGAGGAGAGAGGAGGGACAGTCGTTAAAAATTGGTAGGAAAGAGCAAAAGCCAACTCTTTGTTGTGAAGCAAAAGAACAACATCACAACATCTCACCACGATCTCCCCGCATCCCATTCTATGCTTGTGTAAGCATGCATCGTACAGTTTAGTATGCCAACAGAAGATGTATAAGAAAAAATAAAATGAACTTTCAAATATCTCCGAAGAAGAAAATGCCAATTTCTAACCAACTCTCAGTGGAGTAAATAACTTTTTCATTTTCATCATACAATTCATTTAGTTCATTATCACGCTGACGTGTAATGGGAGTGAATTTATTTTCGATGCATTTTTGCCCGTTTGTTGTAGCAAGAGCATTATTGGAATTTTCATTTTCCTGATTGCAATGTTCTGATTTTTTCTTGCGACAAAGTAATTCAATTTTTGCTGCGGCAAAAACTAGCGGTTTAATAACGATATTGTGTTTTTCACAAAATTTGATGAGAAGTTCATTGTGCCCAACTAGGATGGGTATGTCTGAATGCAGCATCACATCTAAGTCAATTAAGCTATCTCCAATAAAAGCAGACAACTTGTGATTTATGTTGCTAAGCAGGCCGCACACTTTCGTTTTAACTAAAGTTTTATCATAAAATGAGCACAGTGATATCTTTTCAATCTCGTCCGGTCTGGGGACACCACCACTGCTACCACTACAACTGTTACAGCTGCTACCGTTACAGCTGCTACCGTTACAACTTCTACCGTTACAAGGGCTGCTGCTTCTCCTAGCTTTATAATCACCATGCTTAATCTTCAGCTTATTGTACTCGAAATTTCCCGTGTACTTTCGCTTCTCCTTATCGTATGTATGCATTTTCGAATAGTACACGTTGAAATATTTTTTGAAAATTTCATAATAGTCTTCGTCTTCCAATGAGTATTCTATCTGACTCGATTGTCGAGTTCCTTCGTCCCCTTGACCCGACAGGGTCTCCCCTTTCTGTCTTTGCATCGACTTTATCGAATCACCATCTGGACCGTCTACCCCTACGGGTGTAGAGGCATCCCGTTTTTTGTTATCATGTTCAACATTCTTCAGTTTAATCAAATTGTTTCTTATTGTATAAAGGCAAATTTTTTTTTTCAAGTTGAGAGTAATAATGTCAAAATAGAATGTATATTTATTCATCATTTTGTAATTCAATAAATGTAAAAATACTTCCAAAAAATAATCGTTTAATTCAAATTTTTCATAATTTTCACTTATTAAATTATTTAAAATATCCACATCTACATCTTTAAATATATCATAGTATGCCAAGAGCATAGAGTACTTTATGTGTACATTGTCAACTAGATTAAGGTAGTAATAATAAGAATCTGAATATACTTTGCATTTTTTTTCCTTTTCTTTTTCCAACTCTTTTAATATATTCTTTTCTTTTAATACAAACCAATGATTCAATTTGTGTATATATTCTATCTTCTCCTCCAGTGTTATAAATGCAGGTTTATTTTTCATTTTTTCAAAATTGAAATTATCGAAAAATCTTATATCTTCTTCTGTTAGCGTAAGTGCCATCACCCCTGGATGCTCTTTCCTTTTGTTATTATACTTAAAATAATTCTTTTCTAGTATTTTAAAAAATGATGAATATGAATCCTTTTTTATTATTGTCTTGTCGAAATCAATACCGATATAGAAAAACTCATTAATACATGTAAATGGTTTTTCTTCTTTTCTTTCATCTTTCTTCAGGGAACTTTTTACAAATTCGAAATTATTTTCTTCTTTCAGCATCTTTGTGAACTTTTTTTTCTTTTCCTCATTTTTCTCATTATTCCATATGGTGTTTTCAAAAGATGTGTTCTTCTTCAGGTTCATGTTATTCCCAAACGATATCTCCTCCATGTTAAATATATCTCTCTCAAAAATCCTATGAATCAATTCTGTATTAGTTACTATATCTCTTTCCATTCCGCACGAATGTTCTATGGGTTCTTCTCTTTTCATTCCATCACCATTCGACATGTTGACCTGATCATTTGAAAGCATTTCCGTTCGTCTTTCCAATGATGGAAGAGATAAAAATGTTTTATATTCCTCAATTTTCTCAATTCTTTCATACAACTCAATTAGTGAGTTCTTGTTTCTCTCATTATGGTAAAATACTTCCGAAAAAAACATATTCTGTAATGTAGTTCCATATTTTATAATATTTAAATCATGAATGATATCTTTAAACGTGCAATTGGTAGTTCCTCTATCTGACATCAGTCTTTCCTTTGATAAAAAGTAAAGCATAACTTCGTTCAGCTGCAGGAAATTTTTATGGGTGTACAAGGAAATATATTTATGCTGTAAGACCAGGGCTTTCTCACTCTCCTTGTCCATGTTACTGCTCATACCGCTACTCATACCGCTACTCATACCGCTACTTATGCCTCTGCTCATGCCACTATAGAGAGTCCTTAGGTATGACTCTGTCTTAAACTTGTTAAAAGACAAAGAGCAAATGTAAAAGACGTTCGCGTATGTATAAATGAAGGAGTATAAGACACAAAGTTGCTTCAAATGAATGCTGATCCTATCCATGTCGCTATTCCTTCCCAGATTATTCTTCCACATGAAATTTAGACATTTAATTAGGATCCTGTGAGGAACATAATTAACATCTCCATCACCATACAACGGTTGATCTTTTTTCATTTCTTCCTTCCTCCCCCTCAGTGTGGATAACTCCTCATAAATTTCGTTAATAACCTGATTACATCTTTTCAACAATTGCGAGAAATGCAAATTTTCATTTTCTTCTAACAACATAGAGGAAACTTTTTTTAAATAATTATCGAGAACATACAAATTTGAATCTAAGAATTCGTAAAATTTTTTCTTTTCTAAATAATTGTAGGTTATGGAACGTATAAATTTGCTATGTACACATTTGTAAAAACTTTTTTCACAATATTTTCTAATTAAATACATGTGAAAGAAATTAATTAAATTATCTTTTTTCTCTTTTCCTTTTTTAAAGTCTGTACTGTTTATATCTTTGTTGTTACATTTCAACATATCATTGTAATATTCACTTTGTTCAAAGCAATTAATTATATTTTTATAATAACTATTATCATACACTGTTTTTCTTTTTACATTATTAAATGTTTTCCTTACATATTCAATATGATTATTCATGTATTTCTCATCTACCAATGAGTTATCTTCATCGTCCTTGTAAATCCTATTTTTTTCTTTCCATGTGCAATTACCACCTCTATCATTTTCTTTTTTTAATTCTAATAAAATTTTTACTTCCCGATCGAATTCTCGTTCTCTGCTAATGCGCAGCTTTTCTAAAAGTAGTTTTATGTCTTTCATTTTGGATTATTAATTGGCACGCCTGAAAAAGCAAAAAAAAAAAAAAAAAGGGGATAAACTAGGGTTAAAATGCGGATGCAATCGAGGTTAGAGTATGGACAGAATGGAGAATCAGTTTTTTCTTATTATTTCTCTTTTGTCTCAGCAAATGTATTTCCTTCTTATTGTTCTTTTATCTATTTTTCCCTTTCGTGACCCTAACAATTTATGTGCACTTTTTTTTTTTTTTTTTTTTTTTTTTTTTTTGTTGTTGTTGTTGTAATTCCCTTTCTCTGTAACTTTAGATGAGTTATACATGACACAATGTAAAAACAATTCAAATTGTGTAGCATTACATATGTATACGCTTCGTTGATATGTTTACCAGTGTGTATTCATTCCTTCGATCGAAAACGGAAATGGTCTATGAGAAAAAATAAAATAAAAAAATGGCATCTTCTCCTGAAGGTTAGCTTATGGATTGTAAAAAAATTTTACTGTGTGTACAGAGGAATATTTCACAAGTTCTGCTCATATGGATTTTTTTTTTCCCCCTTGAATCTGTTTCAGTGCCAGAGATGCTATAGTATGGTTTCGATATGCTTAAGTAGGGTTTACAAAATAATGGTTTTTTTTTTTTTTTTTTTTTTTTTTTTTTTTTTTTCTGCCATTCTATTGTGCTTTACCCGTCTTGCATGCATAATAATTATGAATGCATATTTTGTGTGCGATATTATTTTTTGCAGCCCTTAACTTTTTTAGATAAATGACATCTTCATTTTCCATCCATTTTTCTTCCTCTTAAAAATAAAGTCGAAAAGAAGAAAATTCCACGTGCATGTAGATGTACAAGGAAAGAAAAACAAGTGGATTCAGTTGTGTTCATATATAAATCCGTGCAAATTATCGGTTCTGTATGACATCGCTTCTGTATATATAAAAGTCGTACATACATAGATACATACACGTCCGTGTGTGATAAATGATGACCTCTTTCTAAGTTGTGTTTCTCTTTCTTTTTCTCTTTTTTTTTTTTTTTTTTTCCCTATTCAGAGAAGTATATATAAACATAGCGGTGCAATTCAATTGGGTTCACTTGCTCAACGTGAAGGATAAAAAAAAAAAAAAAAAATACTAAAAAAGGTAATAAAGAAGCTATTAAAAAGGGCATTAAAAAGGGCATTAAAAAGGGCATTAAAAAGGGCATTAAAAAAAATATTAAAAAAATGCTAAAAGAAATTGGTGTCCGTTGTTTTATTTTATTTTTATTTTTTTTTTTTTTACTGGTTTTCTTTTTCCCTCAATTTTTGTGTACAGTCTTCAGACAGAAGTAGTTTAAAAAAAAAATGACGATAATTCCAAATGGGTACCCATAGGTGAAAAAGGACTAAGTAAAGAAGAAAAAAATATTGAGCTCAGAAAATCGCATCGTAATACTCTAACCAAATCCATTGACATATCTGTATTTCAATACTTCCACTTTAAAAAGAAAAAAAAAAGCAGGAAGGCTAGAATGACAGGAATATATCTACCCCACAAATGACATGTATAATTCGTTTACTACTTTTCTCATCCCTCCCTCTTATCTTACATTTGTATATATATATTACTAGTGTGCTCTGAGAAATCCCAAATAGGGATAAAAAAAAAAAAAAAAAATGCATACACCCATTTATACATATGTACATGTACACATTTAACATATACACATATATATGAATTTATGCATAAAATAAAGGCACTCTGCCCATGCATCGCGCGACATGAAAGTTTTCACACAATTCTTACATGTACATGTTCTTATATGCATATTCACATGCATGTACATGCTTAATGCTCATTGCTACACAACCAATTTTTTTTTTTTTTTTTTTTAGCCCAGGGACAACCAACTATTTAGTTCTATTTTAAAACACTGTTAGGAATGTATACATGTCAGCATAGGGACATTTTTTATATTTGTTTTATTTCCTCTCAGAAATGCTCGTGTACATGTACACACATTCATGAAACGTTTTTTTTTACCCCCTTTGTTTTGCCATTTCCGTCCCCTGTTGGGTTTTTGCAATTCATAGACATACGCTGATAGGGAAAAAAAAAAAGGAAAAAGTGAAAGAAAAAGTGAAAGAAAAAGTGAAAAAAAAATTGAATAAAAAATTGAATGAAAAAGTGAATGAAAAAGTGAATGAAAAAGTGAATAAAAAATTGAATAAAAAAGTGAATAAAAAAGTGAATAAAAAATTGAATAAAAAATTGAATGAAAAAGAGAAAACTGCCCAAGTTGATCAATAAAGCACATAAAACAAACGCTCATACGAACGTAGATCCATTTACAAACGTAACACAAAATTAATGGCTGCGTAATTCTCACACAAATGCTCTATCATTTCTAACTTAAATGCATAACTTTGCATGAGCATGCAGAAGCTGATACAGCGATCTTTTATCATAGTGAATTCGTACACAACTGAAATAATACCCCACAATACAAGTGTTCCTACACATGAGAGGGGAACGGTCCCATTA